GTCACGTTTCGCCTCTTCCCCCGCTGTTGTTGCCAAGTTAAAACTGTTTTAGCAAAATGATCTAAACAGACGGTGGAGCGCATGCTGTTGTATCTCGTCTCCCAGTCTTTCAACACGTGTCCCCTCCCGAAAACACACATTGTCTGAATCATTTTTCTGCCGGTTTAGCGATTTCCAATCTCCCTCAATATGCAGAAGAAAAAAAAAGAATAATCATGTGTTTGAAATGATTGGACGTGTTTTTTTCACTGAGTCTTCGGAGGCGGAGAAGGAGACGTGTGGATCATCCGTCCCTCTCCTTCATCTCAACAGATGCTAAAGGATGTGGGTTTTATCTGTTAAACTGAGATTATGCAATATTTGATGACTGATGTGATCGAAACAAGACAAATCATCATCAAAATGCCGCCAGATTCCTGCAAAATGCGACTAAAACAAATAAAATTAATTTTCACAACTTTCTCTTAATCTCTTTGTAACATCTCATGATGTGTTCATATTCTCCTTTTAAACTGTCTAGTAATAACCAAATTATTACTCAGATAATCATTTCCATTCAGCGGGAAAAAAAAATGACAAGCCCTGCAAAAGAAATTCCCTTCTCAAAACAAGTAAAAAATATATATAGAAGACATTTTTCCACATTATAACAACTAAATCTGTCAAAGGACTAAACACTTGTTAATTCTTCAATGTTGAAGAAGTATTGACTCAAATCAAGTTCCCAAATTTTCCTAAAACGTTACTTGTAACTGAGATTTGTCTTATTTCAACTAGACTGAGATATTTGCTCCAGAAGACTAGACAAAAAATACTTGGTGAGATTTTGTGTTTTTTTTAGCTGCTAGAAGAATGACAGGCAGAAGCTAACGTTTACGGTCTTCCTCGTTTCGGCTCTTGGGATTACAGCCAATCGGTAGCAAGAAAAACAATTAGTGTCAGGTGGCAAAGTGCTGGGGAATGTTTTAGTCATGCCCCACAAAGACAAACTCTGAAGTGTGTTGGCAAGTTGCGAAAACGAACGTTTGTGTATGTAATTTTAAGTTTATGAGACATGAGGAGACAGTTAGTTTGCACAACTTCAGAGTGGAAAAACTCCAACAAAAAACAAAAAGAAATAACAAGGATAATCAGCACTCCAAAATATTCTGAAGGTTTAATAAGGACAAAAACACGCCGCGCCTCGGCTACATGTCTATATAGACCGAGGGGCTTCCAGCCAATCGGAGGCAACTAGAGTCTAAGGAGGAGACATCTGAGAAACAAGCACAATCAGTGGCAAATAGCAGTAATATAAAAAAACATATAAGCACAAATAAATCCATAAAATCACAAAAGTTAAACAGTTCAACGCTAACTTCCTGAAGTTCTTTAGGGCTCACCGTCTGTCAGGACAAAATGTTTGTTGTGACATGACAAATTGTAAAAAATTAAGGTTGAATTTGAATGATGATGCTGCAACATTTTCTATTTCTATTAGTAAAACAGCCCATATGATCAGTTTTAATATTTAGTAAATTCTCTTTTTTTAACGTTTTTCTTGAAACTCTCACTGTCGTGACAAAATGTTAAAAGGCAGATACGAAAAAAAGCATCTAAGTCCTCTGCCTTCTCCCAGTTCAAACTAGAAAGAACCAATCAGAGCCCCTTGCTTTCCTGATAGCAGAGCTTTTTGCGAATGCTAAGGCTAACTAGCATAGCCACCGACGATACACGGCTCTGCCGTAAATGTAAGTCGTTTCTCTGAACAGTAGCGCATTCAGCAGCGCATACATGAGGTTGGTTGTCAGCGCTAAGCCCCTCCTCCTGGCTTTGACTGGTTGTTTTTCACCAGGAGCGTAGCATGTCTTCAGACAGCAGTGGAGGAGGTGGAGGAGTCGGATTCTTTTCACAGATTATCCGTCTCACATGACATTGTCAGGATATTTGAACAAATATGTGAAAAACATATTTTTTTGTTAAATAAAAGTTACACACTGCAGCATTAACCGTATCACAGAGAAGATGAATGAATCACCAGGAAGTCCTCCTTGGCAGTGAGGAATCCCGATAAGCCAGCTGATTTAAAACTAACATATATTTTTGGCGTACCAAGTATCAGACTCCTCATCTCTCCCCTGATCTTCCCTTCCTTTTTTGTTTCTTTTTGTTCAGCCCAAGTATTTCTTAGACACGTGTTTTTCATTCTACTCCCATCAAACCCACTGTGTCTTCAGAGAGACGTGCTCCTGCATGACCTCAGCTCGAGTTACTTTGTTGGCAAATTGGGGCTACTGCTGATTCCTTGAACAGTTTATTTTATCATTAGTGTTATTATTTAATACTTTGGGCCCACAGGCCGCCCAGCGTCAGGGCTCAGCTCGGATCATTCAAATTAGATCAGGAGATCTCAGGGGGAACTTAATGGGTTTTCATCAAACGCAACGAGCCACTTCCTCCCGCCGTTGTTTGGACAGGTGAGCGAAACTGCGAGCTCAGCCTCGGGCCTCCACCTCAGACAGCCGGGCCGCTCCAGTCCTCAGCTTCGCCTCGCATTCGGTCAACGCTCGGAGCTGATCCCCAACTCCTCAGTCACACGTCGTCCACGGCCTATTTGTTCCTCTCTTCTCCTTTTTTTCTTCTTTCTTTCCGCCCTCCTCTGTTGCTATGATGGAACAAACGGCACAAGATGTTTGCTGCTGTACTCCAGCTTCCTTGTGTCTGCGTCTGCAGTCCTCTTGTGAATGTTTCTGTGTGCGCTGCACATTTCGCTGAACTAAACCTGCTCTTTTACCCCCATGTTTTCTTTGTTGTTGTTTTTTTCTTTTTTTTATCATTATTTCGGGAGGATTTTTGCAAAGCTTGTAAAGTCTTTTTGCTCAGTCAGCCAGATTGGAATGCGAGGCCTTGATGTGGGCGAGCAGCTCATGAAATCAGGGAAAAAAAACATGAGATTTTTCTTTTGCTCTGAAAAGCCTTTCTAACCGTCTGATGACTGATTAAATTTAAACTTATATAAGGAGTACATGTTTTTGTTGGAAATCTTCTATTTGCTTAATTCCAGCTTCCGGCTTCTGGCTCCAAACTTTTATCTCCATGTTTTTCTCTTGAAAGGTGAACATTCTGGTTAACATGAGGTTTTGTGGCCTCCTCACACACCAGACCGAGCCCAACGGACTCAAAAGCTGCTCTTCAGAAGCCCTATGTAATGTCGACTGCGGCCTCAATTTGACTTTATTTAAGAGGTGAAACCGACTTTAAGAAAACGTTTGTCGTTTTTTGCTGTTGTGGATCTTGGGAAGGTTACACTCACATTTGACTGTTTCAAAGCTGCAGTTTAAGAACTTTTTTTGTTCACTTTTGTGCAGACTTGATGTTTCAGTTGAGAAGGAAGCAAAGCAGTCAAGTGATGAAAGCAGAGGCAGTTTAAAAAAAACATAAGAAACATAAGAGAATTTGAAATAAAAAGTAACATGTCATCTGCGTAAAGAGCAACCGAACGTGAAGCAAATATGAATGCCCTGAATGCGCTCACGTCTTTGGAGGGATACTACAAGAGGTCCAATGACTAAAACAACCTGGCATGGTCCTAGTTTAGTCTCGAACATTCTGATCTTTTTTTTAAATTATTGGTGTAAAATAAGGAAAAAGGAGGTCGACGTGACTAACACAGCTCTTTTTCACACCTGTTCTTTCACAAGAGAAAGGAAAGTACTCTGGCATGTCGTCTCAAGGTGTGTGAACAGTTTTTACTTTCTAACAAAGCAGCTCTGCTTCGCTAAGCTTTGCTTAACATGGTTAAATGAGCCACTCTCCACACCGCCTAACACCTTCTTTTGTTTCACTCTTCGAATTTGTCTCTTCGTCTCTCTGCGCCGTCAGTTTGCCAACAGGTGGTCCATTTTCTGAAGCCCCTTCCTGTAAGGCTCTCAGCTAATAAAACTGCTGCAAACTCACAGAGACGTAGGCCGCCTCACAGGGAGACGTTTCGTAACAGTCCAGTTTTATAGCAGCTTTCCTGGGGAGACCGGCTCTTATTTACTCAGCCTTTAGGCGCCTTTTTGGTGGTAAAGGGGGCCCGCTAAATTAGACCCTAGATTTAACCACTTGCCTCTTTTCTCCATGTTTAGCTGGCAGCTGATGTGGTTCGCGCCGATTATGACGTTACACAAGACTTTCTTGTGTACGTAATCGGCAGAAATTCACAGTTGATGCCGTTTCCTTTCAAGTCTGGTAACAGCTGGCTTACTCCCGTAGCTGTTAGCGTGATGTTTTGTTCATCACAGCTGTCAAATGTTTGATAAGATGTAAAGACGACATCAAATGGATTTGTTGCTATGTGTATTAATAAAAGTGGGAACTTTGCTCCTGTTCTACATCTACTCTCTCAGCAACCTGCTAAGCGACGTGGGAAACTAGTTGTGGTGATGAGTTTGTTCCGTCTGTTTGATTTTGTTTTCGTATTTCTCAGCGTTCAACGGCTGAACGTACATTTTTCGCAAACAGGTTGCCTTCAACTATGCGTGGCAATGAGTTACCAAGATACAACCAAATATTCCTGCAACTTTTGCTACGTTTTACAAGCATGGCGACCATGTTGGATTTTGACATCAGGGTCGCTCTTTGACCTCCCAACTTTCTGACATGGAAATGTCAACAACTTGTTCAAAGTAAAGGAGGACATAACAATATTTTCACTTAAAGCAAAATATTTGACCGTTGTGTTTCACCTTGCATATTCCCAGCTTGTTCTTTTCACTGCGGATGTTTTGAGCCTCAGTTCCTCTCAGTCAGCCACGCTGTAATTTTCCTGTTTAAGCGCTTCTCCATGTGGAGCTCAGTATGTCTGTCCAATAGCTTAAAGTGAACTATTTTTGCGGCTCCCAGTGCTGCTTTGGTAGCACACATCTTGCAATGGCGTGAGGTAGTTGTGGAGTATATGGAAGTTGTCACCGACGTATAGATACAGAATAAACTTTATGACGTTTCCTCACATTCATTTGCTCTCTCCCGTTCTGCAGGTCTGGCAGTGTGATCGGCCACTGGAATGAGATCTTTGAATTTGTGAAGAACTTGGCGGAGAAGTTTAAAAGGTAAGAGATTCTTCACAAGCGGCCGCGATCGTGAAGCCCTGTTAAAGGAAGCCAGCAGAGAAGCATTAAACCAGTTTAATAAGAGGGTAGCTAATGTGTGAAACTTCATTGTTGGTGCCCTGACAGCTTCTGGCTTCCTGGTTAAAGAATCTATTGTTACAGGAAAACACACCTTACCTCCCACACCGGCAAATAAATACAGACCAATTTTAAAAAATCAATACAGGCCTGTTGTTGGTTTGGTTGCTTTCAGACACCGAAGGCTTTTGGGCCTTAAATACAATCAGCAGTATCAGCTTTACATCCTTACTTTTGTCTCATGATTATGTTCAACGAATTCAACTTCTCTGTGTTCAGTAAATCATTGAATAAATTTAAAAACAAGCCATACAGATTTTGGACTGTCTTTCTTCTAGTTTTTTTTTATTTTTTATTTTTTGCTTTGTTTTTGCCAAAATCAACCTCCTCGTTCCTCCTCAGCTGAAGGATCCATTCAGAGCAGTGATCCGTTCTTGCCTTAAATTTTTCATCTGTCAGTAAACACGACGGAGAAGCACAAATGACAACGGTCCTTTGTGAGCGGCACCGCCTCCGGCCCCCGCAAAACCTTCCCCAAACAGACTTCATCCACAAATAAACAGAAATTCACATGTTGAGATTCTGTGACACAGTTTTCATATCAAAACTAGGTCACTGTGGGTCTGGCTCCTGCCCTCTGGTACGACTCTGTCATTGTATTCCTGTAAATTCATAGTGACTTGCGCAATTATGCGCCTTCAAATTTTTCATGTTTTGTCCCATTCCGACCGCAAATGTCAGACCACACCTAATTTGTAAATATAGCTTTTAATTTCAGTATAAATCCAGCAATTCTGCAAAAACACAGATCTGATTGAGGAAAGTAGCAAGAAAACACATGAATCTTTCTGCCGGTGACATCATAGGCAGATTGTTGGCGCAGTTTGTTCCACAGCGAAATGCTTCGTGTGTTTGTGTAATTCTGCGTTTTTGTTTTTTTTTTCTTTTTCCCTCCCTGTTCCAGTCCCATGCTGAGGATGTCCTTCATAACGTTCAGCTCCAGAGCCTCCACCATCATGAAGCTAACAGAAAACAGGTGATTTCACTTGGCTCTCCGAGTCACTGGTAATATTTTAATAGAAATTCATTTGCTGGGATTAACTGTAACTGTTATGGAAGAGCAAATAAAAGCAGAGTGTGTTGTTGTTTGTGTCCGTCGCTGAGGACGTCGTTTCCTTTCTCGGAGGTTTCAATGAAAGATCTCTGAGATGTCAAAAATACTAGAGGAGGAGCAGAAATTCCCCGTTTTTTAAAAAAAACAAACAAACATGAATTTACCCCCTCCCAGATGAATAAACCGGGTCATTTATATTTTCTACACTGTTCTTTTTCCCCCTACTACTTCCTCTATTTTGAAGGTCAGCTCTGCAACTTGAACTCGTCAGAAAATCCCCTCCATAAAGCTGAAGGTCACCAAACGCAGATGACAGATTGATGACAGATTTCACTCCAAGGCTCCTTCATTGTCCCCAGTTTGTGTGGACGGTGCGTGTGGACAGTGTGTGTGTGGACGGTGTGTGTGGACAGTGTGTGTGTGGACGGTGTGTGTGGATGGTGTGTGTGTGTGTGTGGACGGTGTGTATGTGTGTGTGGATGGTGTGTGTGTGTGGACGGTGTGTGTGTGGATGGTGTGTGTGTGTGGACGGTGTGTATGTGTGTGTGGATGGTGTGTGTGTGTGGACGGTGTGTATGTGTGTGTGGATGGTGTGTGTGTGGACGGTGTGTGGACGGTGTGTGTGTGTGGATGGTGTGTGTGTGTGGACGGTGTGTGCCGATCCCTCGGCCCTCAGTGCTTGCGGTGAACTCGTCCAGGTTGTTAAAACATGGAACCGCCCAAAGAGGCTGCAGTAACATTACAACTAGCCAGTGGTCAAACTTGCCAGTCAGAAATCCTGCTGTATTTCCTCTATGGTAAAAATCCATAATCAGCTCCAAAATCACATCTGGTCTGTTTTTATGTGAGCCTTTAAAGGTCTATTTGATTCTTTTTTTTTTTCATGGAAAAGGTTTTTTTCTACAAAGTTTGCTGCTAGTGAAGGTTAAAGCATTAAAGCCTTTACATGCTATAACATGTGAGTATGTAAAGTTACACACTCAAAATTTAAAAGGGATTATTTTTTTCTTTGCTCATCTTGCTGGGCGGTTGCTTTAATATTCAGCTAAATGTCTGAATTGTCAGTGGAACTTGTAACCATTTGTGTTGTGAACAGGCGACGTTGATTTGACGTACAGATGATATATGCTGACGATGCTTTCATTTAAGGATCAGCCTTTGCTTACAAACTCCCACTGTGACAAAAAATTTACAGCAGTGCCATGTATATAAAATAAATGAAGAGTTTTCTATTGGTATCACATGGTCTACATTATTATTGTTACTGTGTAATACTTCTGGATGCTGCAGTCTGTCCAGCTCTCCTGATAGCGACAGATCTTTCAATCCAAGCAGTTTCTGCTCATTAAAATTGGATTAACATGCTAGCATTAGCTTAGCAGCAAGACCAATCCCAGCATGTTAACTGTAAATGTATTGAAATGCCTCACTGATGAACAAATGAAAGTTAGTCATCAACAAATTGGAAAAAAGTGTAAGAGTATAATATTATTATACCTTAATGTGGACTGGCTGTGTCAGTATTGAGGTATAATGAATCTCTTCTGTTTTTAGATTTAAAAAGTGGTGTTTATAATGCACAAGGCGGTCGTGACATCATCACAAACATGACATAACACCTGTGATGGACATGAGCAAGTCTTTATGAATTTTTATGACTGTTGTCATAAAGTGTCATTCTGTAAATCTTGACACTTTTGACGCAAAGTTAATGTCTTTGTCATGACAACTCGACAATAACCAAGACAGAAGACTCGAGAGATTTACTCATTTTCCTGACATGTGTTATGTCATGTTTATGACCGCCTTATTCACCACCCGACAAATAAAGTGTCACCACAATGCCTCCAAAACCTTCTACTGACAGCAACAACAACCCTGATAAGATCATCTAACAAACCGACCATTTCCAAAATAAAATTTAAATGACGCCTAGTTACACAAGCAAGAAATTGCATCCAAAAAAATAGAATATTTATTTATTTTACAGGAAAAGTATATTATTACCTTTACTATTTCACCCCAGCGGTTTTTCTGCTCCACAGAGTGAATATCCAAAAGGGCCTGAATGCTCTGAAGAAAGAGAAACCTGGTGGGGATACGTTGATGGACCTGGGGCTGCTGAGGGTAAGCAGGCATTGCAACACACACATTAAAACACACAATAACTAACTCAGGTCAAATTAAAGGCTTTTTAGTACTGTCTGCTAAATTCTCCTCTAACAAAGAACATGTCTGTCCGCTTAAAGGCAAACGACCAGATACGCAAGGAAAACTTTGGTGAGTAGCTGAGGTCTTCAGCGTTGTCATCCATTTCTGCAGTTTACTTTGAATCTTAAAGTTTTTGCCTATGTGTCTTTTCAGGGACGGCCAGTGTGATCATCGCTCTGACAGACGGTGACCTGCAAGAGCAGCAGCTCTTCGATGCACAACAGCAGGCGAGAAATCCGCACTCCATCTAAAATCCAGCTTATCCTCAACCAGGAGCCGCAGAGATCTCATCTGGAGAGAGGAGCTCTGACCTCACACGACTTTTTATCTGTACTCTTCCGACAGGCAGAGGAGGCCAGACGACTGGGAGCGATCGTGTACTGTGTTGGTGTCAAAGACTTCAATGAAACGCAGGTAAGGAAGCTGTAAAGCAAGGCTAACCAGTAAAGTGGCTCTAACATAAATTCAGATTTAATAAAGTAATTTATGGTTTTGAGGATATAGTTGTTGTTGCTATAGCTCCTTGCACTGATAAACAGTAGTAAATCAGTGAGAAGATTTGTACATACTGCATCAATGTTCAGTGTAAGTTTGTCATAAACGTTGATTTTCTGAGTGAGCATCTGTTTTTGAAGCTTTTCTTTTTCTTAAAAAGTAATTTTCTTCATTTGTTTACAGTTTCCTCTCTGGATGCTCTTTCTTTGTCTTTCTCTCTCTCACCAACTCTAGCTGGCCACCATTGCGGACACCATAGAGCATGTGTTTCCTGTGCTAGGAGGGTTCCTCGCCCTTAGGGGTGTCATTGACTCGGTAACCTGACTTCTTTCTACTGTAAAAGTCTACTGTATGTCCAGCTGTGAAACTGAGAATTTATTTAACAATCTAGGGGGTAAAAATAAAAAAAAGCCAGTCAGTGAGGAAGTTGAAACCTCCTTGATCATCCTAACAAACAGAGGAACAGTCTCTGGTGGCAACAAACCCTCTAGGGGAACAAAGGAGAACAGTCAAAGATGGAGGCAAACCCTCCTGGTGCCCCTTATACAGGAACACTCACTGGTGGAGGCGATGCTATTTTCAAGAGCTCTATAAAAGCCATTCAATTTTGCGAGCACATTGCAATTATTTTGTGCGTTCCTAAATCACTGCTGCCTTTGCTTTTTCAGATCATCAAGAAATCCTGTATTGAAATATTGGCAGCAGAACCGTCGAGTGTGTGCGCAGGAGGTGGGTAATTGGAAAAACACGCTCTCAGAAAGGCAAATGCACAACGAATGGGTCTCTCTTGAGTCTTTGAGACAAATGCCATCATTGAATTCACCCATGAACTACATTCATTTCAATAGGAAGCATTTTGGTTTGGCCTCCTCCTTTTACGACTATCCCAGACTGAAAAATGACCACATGCAGCCTGTCGGGTCACTTACCGGAAATCTGCTTCAAAGGGCCACATGAAATGAAATGGCCATGAGAACAGTGCTGCAGTTACAGGAGATTAGCTGGAGAATAAATGTACAGTAGATGTCCTTTAGTGTAATACCACCGGAGAGAGCGCACAACCATCATTGAGAAATAAGTCGGATAATAAATAGCTCGAATGAACAGCTGAGAGCCGGGGTTAATGACATATCTAAGGGTAAAAGCAGACGAGCTGTCTGGTTTTTGCGTTTGCTTCTGTTTTGTATTCCATGAAACAGAGCATTACCAAACCATTTAACAATTAGCCAAGGGGAATTTATTTGCATTCCCGTCCCACAACGTTAGCTTTCCTTTGACAATGTGATACCGGATGACGTGATTTGTGCTTCTTCTCTAAAGAAAACATGCCTTTTTTTTCCCTTGCCTCATTCATCCTGTTAGTATTTTTGTCCTCCCTCCTCCAATATGGTCATTAAAATATAAGAATAGGCAAAGTTTCCCTGGAATACTTGCTTCACCCAGAGGTTGGGTGCTGAGCAGCCATTCATCCAGCGGCCCGTCGTGTTTCTGAGTTGAAAAATCTTAAAAGTTGACAGAAAGCTTGAAAATATCACTTGACAATTATGTGTTGTTGGAAGATTATTACCTGAAAACCAACGACAACATCTGAAAATCCGCAAACATTTCAAACAGACTTAAATAAATAAACAATGCTTAGCCTGGTGGGGGCAAGAATAAAGCCTGGTGGCCCGCCAGGCTTATAATACACTCCAGGAAATGTTGCTCTTAAAATGTAAACAATAAAATGTAAACAACACAGCAGCCCTGTTCAGGTTGTGTGTTTCTGGCAACTTTGCATCATTTCGGTGGTCCACTACTGCCAGCAGGAAAGGCTGCAGATGGTTCAGATTAGTTGCTATGATTGGTTGGGTACACCGTTTGTTAACGTTCAGTCGTTTTACTATCAGCTACATTCGCCTCCACCTCCTTTACTACTGGATGAAAAGTTCATTAAGATTCTTTGCTGTTTTCTATCCATACTTAGCATCTATAAGCCGCTGTTTGCTTTTGCCTTTTGGACTGTAGAGGATGCTTGCCGTGTTACTGGAGCTGACTGTTTGTTTGTGTCTACCTTAGCGAGTCCCATTTTGTGCAATCTTTCATATATGTACAAATGGCAAATGTTTTGTTTGTGCAACCAGAGACATTTCAAGTCGTGGTGAGAGGGAACGGATTCCTCCACGCAAGAAACATCGACCAGGTGCTCTGCAGCTTCAAAATCAACGATACCGTCACAGTCAGTGAGTAGACTTTAAAATAAACAGATCGGTCAGTAACAAAGTTCGTCTGGTTTTCTACAGTATACTTGTCGATTTCTATGTCACTGAGTAGCAGGAGGGACAGTACTGAAAATAAAACGGTTACATTGATCTACGTTTTACGAGACAACATTCTCATCTTTCAAAAACGTAACGCACAGCGATGGTGTTCGTGTCTGCTGAGATATTTAACTTTTGGTTACATTCTGACCACGGAATTGAGTGGATTTTATTGGGATTGTATGTGTTAGACCGACATCTATTCAGCCCCTTTTACTCCCATAGCCCTAAATAAAGCGCCAGCAGTTGCCTTCAGAAGTCAGTAGAGTACACTACAAGTGCAAACCTATCAAGACATAGCAACAGCTGTGACCAGTAACCTTGGAGAGGCTGCAGAGACACACTGCTCAGGTGGAAGACACACTGCACATCACCTTCAAGGCCTCCTAACTCCTACTGTGAAGCACGGTGGTGGCAGCTCCGTGCTCCTTTGCAGCCCGTTTGTGGTTATAATGTGAATACCTTTGCAGGAGACTCATTTCTTTTTGTGTTTCTGCCCTTTAGATGAAAAGCCTGCTGGTGTAGAAAACACATTCTTACTGTGTCCAGCTCCTGTCATCGATGAGGTTGGAAAGTAAGTGTCTCTTTCTCCTTTCATAGCTTCATGAACGCTTACAGTTTGCATTACAAAGGGGCTGTTTCTTAGACAGATTGCATTATGCACACTGCACTATGAAGCCAGGGGAACATGTGGAAGTGTTCATGGGCATCAGAGATCTGCCATACATTAGCTGTTTTTATGATCCTATCTGAAGTCATACTCCTATTCTCTAGTTCCTAGAATAGTTCTATGGAAATATAAAAGGCGGTGCAGCTGTGCCAGCTCACGCCGGGGGGTAAAGCCTTCGCGTCCTGAGCAGTTAAAAAAAAAAACGAGGCGATTCCTCTTTGTGTGGCACCGACAGGAGCCGGCGGATCTGGTCGAGGCAAATCTCATGAAACGCCTCGACCGACTTCTCGCCAGTTCTTTTGGGCAGGAGACGTCGCGGCAGTCGCTGACTTTTCCAGAAAGAGAAGAGCTCAGCGTGGCATTTGTAAAGAGCCAAGTCTGCTAGGCCATTTACCAGCTAAAGAGCAAATCATTTCCTCAAGGACCTAGAAAGTGAAAGGGAGGCGCCATATTTAAACCGGGAGTTGGGTTTTCTTTCCAAGAGCTTTTGGCTTCTAGCGACCAACCAGCTTTAACTCCTTGTACACGGCTAGTGTTCGAGAATATTACATTAGGACTCTTAAAAACATCCTGTTGGATACCAAACTGCAGTCACAACTTCAGAGTATTTCATTGAGTACTTCTATGAAACCCACTGAAAGTGTGGCATGCATTTGTTTTCAAAAGAATAAAATCCCATTCAGCTCCTGCCAGCTGTGTGTGATTCCATTCAGTATAACTCCAGCTGCTTGTTGGATGATATCAGTGGACAAACAGCAGCTAAAGACATTGCTTATCGTTCTCTGGATATTACGTTGCCTGTAATATGCCCTGCAAATTCTCAGATTAGATTCATTTATTCTTTTATAAATGTTAAATTTGAACTGTTACTTTGTGGACATATTTTGTTGCGATTGTAACATGTTTTGGCACTGAAAGTGCACCATAACCCCGGCAGAAAACCCAGAGCTGACAAAGAACAAGGAGTAGGTTTCGCTTTTATTGGACTGTGACCAAAGACACACAGAAAATGGTTTTGATCAAAGCGTAGTCGTGTTTCTCAGTGGCCTAATCAAAGATCAGACCTAAATCCAATCAAGAATCTGTGGCAAGACTTGAACTCTGCTGTTCGTAGAAGTGACCAAAGCCGAAGGACCATTTTCTTTCCACTTCTTCTTGTTCCTCCATTGCATAAAATCCTAATAAAACACGCAGAACTTTTCGGGTTTCAACAAAAACGTTCAACAGGAAAGAATTTGTTTGCACAGTGCAAACTACGCAGCGACCAGATTTGCTCCTGCATCACATTTCTGTTCTCTTATTTAGATCCCAACCAGGTTCCAACATCAACTATCCGCAAACCTCTCTGACCCAAGTCTTTATGGGAAGCAAAGAGCTCAGGGCCACAGAATACGAGGCTGAGTGGACGGTGTTAAAGACTTTATAAACACAGAGGGAAACCAGCGGGGAGGACAGATGGCCAATTCCTACCCCTCCACATACTTTAAACTTAAATCATTCCTTACATTTATTTCGTACATTTATTCTCAGTCGGGGCAGGGTAAAAAGATCTTCAGGCTCGCGTTGGGAAATCGGACAGCGAAGGGATTGAAGATTCTGAGCTGATCTGTTGCCTGTTTCACTACCTGCATGGAGGATTCTCCTCTTTCTGCCTGTCTGTCCTTTTTTATTTTTGACTGTTTCCTTTTATGGTCTCGGCTACGGATGAACTTTCCTTAAAAGATCCCCCCCCCCGCCCTCCGAGAGGCTTTTTATTCTCATCCAGCTGTCTCTTTGTCTGGGTTTGCCCTGATCAAAGCCACGCAGCAGCCAGCCAGGTCTTTCATGTGTGGGACCACATGTTGGTAGCATGCAAGGTTCTCTGCAGGAGAGCTGGGGGGGGGGGGGGGGTGGTGGGGAGGAGGGGGAATCAGGATTGGTTCTTTACATTTATAGAAACCAAACCTAGAGGTGACCTTGAGCCAGAATTAGAAAAGTGTTTCATTTAATGTCTAACATGCTGAAGGTCAATAAAATGTGATTTTCCTAAAAAAATATATATATATCAAAAAATAAATGTCTTCCAAATAAATGAAGAATTTGTTTAGAATATTTAAAATCTAATAAATAATCATTGACTTTCTGTTTGGTAGAAATATTGGAGGATATAGTTTTATGTCCTTTAGCCACAGGTCACCAGCACACAGTGAGGATGGAAAGTTAGGAAAGAAAACATAAATGTCCAAATCGAAACACGTTTCCATAACAACCATTAGACGTGCTCTACTCGCTGACCGACTCCATGGGAGTGACGCCAAACTCTTAACTTCACATTGCAAAGAAAAGCTACTTTGTTTTTATCCATATCGTCCGATTATTTATGACCGTTTGAACGGCACACATCAGATTTTGATTTGATCATATCCAGGCCTTTGGTCCTAAATTGAATACATATCCAATGTTTGTCAAAGCAGCCGAATTCTGAACGGCCATGTTGCGTTTTTTCCGACTCCCGTGTAATAAAGCGTGACAGCCTGGCGAGATCGGAAGTTAAAAACAGATGAGAAAGAATCCAACTCCACTCCGCGTGTGATGCGCACACGCTGACATTTGTAGCATGTTTACTGCTGTGCGCGCGACGTCACATGTTGTTCTGCGTTTCTGGGTCATTTCAGGGACTCCTCATGGTTACATCTAATAGAAGCAGCATTCAAGTCAGAATAGCAACTGCAAGAAAAAAATTTCAAAATCAGCATAAGGACCAGCAGGTTTTCTGGAACAAACACGTCAAAGAATAAAAATACGGGAGGCTGGCAGATCAATCCACAAATATTGATAATATCGATACCTAGTCAATTTCAGTATCGGATTGACGCTAGTAACATTTTCTCATCAAATTTTATTTTATTTTCGTTTTGCAGTTTGTCAACTCTATCTCAAAAAAGATTTTATTTTGATATGCTCTCAGATGAAATTTTTTTCCCCTCTTAGTTTATTTAGAAACAATGCACATAAATCATATTAATATGGTGTTAAAGTATTTTGTCGACAACGTAAATAAAGTATCGGTATCAGTATTGGTATTGGTGATTCGGGCCCTGTGTGCTTTACAAAAAAGAGATTATGCCACTTTTTTTCCCAAGTTAACAACTGGGAAATATAGCTGACAACTGTTGTTTCTTAATGTGATTTTGTTTTTCTGTTCCACAATATATAAATGTACTTAAAGAAAACGTTCAACTTTCAGTGTGTCACTGTGCTGCAGGAACAAAAATGAAGTCATTACAAAGTTTTTCACACCTCGTTGCTGTGAACTGCCAGGCCTTGGTTGGGTGGGCAGCAGGGGTTTAGGGGGTTTAGGTGTGAAGTTGGGGTTGGGGTTAAGGTTCTGGGTTTAGCTGGCCACAATAATTAGAGGTGAATGAAACAGCAGTGCTGCATCAGCTGCTGTTCGGACAGCTGTCTGCTTCACTTCCTTGTGAAACAACTGTCTGAGACCACGCTCTACATTTCCTCCCCACCACTTTGTTGTTTATTTTTCCTCCACATCCTTGAATTCTGGCTTCAAGGTTTTCACTGGCTGCTTTTCATTTGAACAATTTTTCAGTTTTGTTTTTTTTCCTTGAACGATCGTCTGACATCTTGTCTTTATGGACGCAGACAGATATGCGAAACTTATTGAAGGTTTTGCTTCTTTCTGTTTGCCTGACCCCCTTGCATCCCCATTTTCAGAAATGAAACAACAACAAGCCCCAGAAATGGGACAGTTCTCCAAATTGTTCCCCAGTGTTACAGGGGGATGGGATGATCCGGGGATGTTGGATACACAGATGAGGTTAGAAGTGGGGCATGGACAGAAGCTTGTTTTGATAAGGGAGTCTGATGGAAAGAAAAAGCTGAAGGATAATTGAAAGTTGAGTTTGGGTGATGTAATTCCTTGAGAAACTAAAAGCAAACTCAACTAGCGAGTTTTTCCATTGCAGTTTATTAAAACTACAATGTCTTTGTGTTTACTGTGCTGGCTCACCCAGTTACAACCACCTCGATGGGGGTTTTTCTCCTGTCTTGCTTGAAACAAAGTGGAAAACGTCTGTATCTGGTTCGTTTGGGTAAAGCCAGCTCAATTACGAGTGACATGGAGCCTGTAAGTACAAATCAAGCTGCTCATTTGTTGGACGTTTAACAATATGACCTTAAGGGAGATTAGAGATTTCAGCAGCTACAGTGAGACAAAAGCAACGCACTCTGGAGACTGAAAAGAAAATTCTGGAGTGAGCAGGATTAGTCACTGTAATTTATTGTCGGGGTAAACGACTGTCTCCTCCGGCTCTTTATCCCTGGAGTTTTGTGGTTGGAACCTTTTGGTTACAGTTACAATCTCCCCTGGTCGCTCGCAGAGCGTTTGGTGACGTGATTCTGCTGTGAAGGCAACTTTGAATGACATCATTCTGGTGAAAGAGACTGATTGAGTTCAGCTTCCTGTGGACGATATTGTAATATTCACACTATGTTTGTTGTCCTGTTTCAGGGTGATTTATCTCCAAGTGAGCATGAATGACGGTCTGTCCTTCATCGGCAGCAACGTCCACATCACCACCACAGAGTGTGTGAGTAATTACTTTACTCTTTTTTTTTTTTTTTATGGAATCGGAAATTTATGGGCATGTTTCTTTTTTTGGGTTTTTTTCGCACATCTTCCGGACATGTGGGGTTTTCAGTTTCACTTTTTTACCACTTTACAATGACAAAATTTGTGTTTATTGGGGGTTTTGCGATAGACTCAGACGAGGTAAAAATTTTGAAACTGAAAGAAAATCTGAAAAATGTGGCAGGCATTAATATTTTGCCCTCTTGAGTCAGTACTTTTTGATGGAGTACATGGACGAGGACGTCTCCACAAGCTTAAATTCGGCATATTTTTAATGGCTCAAGGTTCAGTCAGACTGAACACAGAGGTTTCTGTGAACAACATTTTTGAGAAGTCAACAAAAAATCATGCTGTACATTCATGTTTGGACCGACGTTTGGGCTTGGGTTGCATCCTTTTGACGAATATGCTTCGGCATGAAGCAGTGAATCTCAAACATCCACCAAATTGACTTCTATGTTAAGGTTCATTTATTTCGACTTGACTTGTAAATAATGGCAACATTTCTGCAGAGCACCACTGAAACAACCCAAGTCCAATCAGAACTGTTTTAATGGCCTCTTCTTGCGCCTCTTTCTTGAATATTCTCCAACAAACATCTGAAGCCTTCAAAGAACAGCTTTATTTATTCACAGACACAACTGGACCACATTTACTGACTATTTAAGGGCACCAGTGTTTCTAGAAAGATTTCAAAAAAACATGTATCGCACGCTGCATAAAATTATAATAAACTACACGGCGGTTTGTGGTTGTGATGTGTAAAAATGTTCAGTATAGATACTTTTGCGAGGCAGAAAATGATGTTTTCCCCTCCCTTCCTTTGCTAGAAGTCCCACAAACGGGTCCGTGGGACGACCCGTTTGTCTTCTCTGTCTTCCCTTTTTAGTGTTGTCTCTAGCAATGACGCGTCCAAAAAGACCAGCTCGACTCCCCAGCAAAGGAAAGAAAAAAGCGTAGAGAAGCAAGTCCAAGACCACCATATGTGCTTTCTTTGAAAATTAAAGGGGAAACGTCCCATAACGGCTCTGACTGATGAATCCTCTACTTCTGTTCAAATGTTTGTTACTCAGCAAGCGGGGAAAGCGTTGACGTTCCATTTACAGCAATTCAAAGCAAATTTACCTAAACAAAAACATATGGTGGGACATATGGAAACAGAAAATTCCATTTAACCAACAAGTAATATTCCCTTTAAAGGCCCCCTGCCCCAATCCACAAAGCTGGGACAAGAAGCCATGAGAGCAAACTATGTGGCTTATGATGTATGCACCCCAACTTAGCATGCTATTACAATTAGACAGTAAGGGAATGTTCAAATATGTTTAAGGGCCAGAAGACATCAAATAAAAATGTCCAGCGGACAGCTATTAGTTCTCACAGTGAAAACCTATGGTGTTGTATTGGTGCCAAAATTAAATCTACAGTAGTGGTGGCTACTTCCTTGTCGCAGGACGCCATATGTATCCCAAAGCTAGCGACTGATCTGATTAATGACAGGCTGTGTTAGCTTTGGAGAAGTTCATGACTAACATGTCTTAGACTGGAAACCCAATGGTTTGGCTATGATCCCTCTACTGTCCATTAGCACTGGAGATTGGTATTAGCATTGGAGCGGCTAACAACTAACATGAAGCTAATATCAACAGCATCTCTGCTCTTGGGGTGACAGCCAATCATTGGCAAGAAAAATAAATGGGACTCCTGGATTGGTTGCTTTTGAAAATGCCAGGCAGTAGCATGTCCGATAGCATCGCAGCTACTTATTGAAGCTTCCCAAGCTGCATTTTCTTTCAGATGTCTTATAAGTCATTTTTTTCCCCAAAGTGTTTTTTTTTTTCTAAATCATTTTCGGAAAAAAAAAATGACACAGGCCACGAAAAAAATGTGCAAACAGGCAAATTTTGCATGAATAATTGGGAGTTATGAAGACATCCGTGATTACTGACCCGCGAATAGACGGGGATCCACTGACATTTCATCATTTGTTTTTTTTGCCACCAGCCCAACATGTGTAACACCAAACTGCATGACAAAAATATGCACACATCCAGATATGGTCCCGTTCACTGTCACCTAATAAATTACACTATCAAGTTTTCTAACCAGACAATTTAGTCATCGTAGGGAGTCACTGCTTGTTGATAGAGGGGAGGGGATTCGGTTCTGAGAAATATTTATTTGGTTCCTGTGATGAGCTGTCTACAGTCGGCCCCACTGCTGAGTTCAGATAAATCCTCAACCCCCCCCCCTCGTATGATAGATAGGGGAAAGTCAAACCACATGTGATCCTCATCTGCGGTCTGTGATAAAAACCATGTTTGGCTGGCGGAGGCCCGGCTCCAGAGAAAAAGAGAGGAACGTTATATTAGGAGACTTAAATGATTTAGATCCACCACGGCTAGCGAGACAAAGAACACAATCACTATCTCCTCTGCTCCTCCTCGTGTCACAACTTTGGTCTTCGTTGGCCAGCTTGTTTTCTATCTCTCAATGAAGGGAACAGTCAAAACATTCTGATTCCCCGGACCTTCCTTCCCCTGTTTAGTTCAATTTGTACTTTGATTTTTAATTGCTTCCTAAGCTGTTTACTGACCTCTTAACTTATATATTTACTCATTTATCTTTCCAATCACTTCCTTTATCACTTTGGTTTCCTTATCAATCTACTGAACTCATTTATTGCCATCTTTCTCAAATGATTTGCCTTCCTGCTGAAATTTCTGCCTTTATTTCCATCTTTCTTAATTTGCTTCCCTCTATAGCTTCATTTTTTCTGTAGTTCATCGTTTCATGAACTCCTTCATTCCTTCTTAGTGTTTTTGTCCATGCTTCCATCTTTCCTTTTGTAAAATGTTCTTCCTTCTCGCCATCCTTTCATCTTTTTTCACCAACTTCCCAACTTTTTTGGTCCTTTCTTTTTTCTTCCTTTTTGCTTTAGTTTGTTCCTTCCTTGTTTTATTCCTTCCTGAGTTTGTCCGACTGATCTGATTCTTTTTAAATCTAAGTAAACGGGGCTTCTTTTTTTTTTTTTACAGTACTGTACAGGCATAGAATAAATTATTCTCACAGTTAGAATGATTGGATTCTCATCCAAGTATATTAAAATGTAGATTGCAGATGACTGAGGTCAATAGCTGAAACAGACTTCATGCAAACATGTGATGAATATGTTGGGGTCACAGAAAATTCAACAAGGCCGTGGCGAGGGATCGCTGAAGGAGAGATAATTAAAGATGAACTTATGATCCTCTGTGTCTTGATTTTAAATTCACATCCTGACGCCCTGCTGTTCCCACGCCGACGCTGTCTTTTCCCTGAACGTTGTTGTTTGGCAGGTTGAAAATGCTGCAGGCTGCACGCTCTCCTCGGAAGTGTTTAGTCCTTTTATCCCTCATGAATTTCATCCTTCCTTCCCGTCTTCCTTCTTTCATTTGCTGCTAACAAATTTCTGTTCACTGGTAGTAAATCTGCTCCTGCTCTGTGTGTTTGTGCGTTGTCCAGTTTGATGGCACCATCCTGCTGATAACGCTGCTGGTGTTGTTCCTCCTGCTGGCCCTCCTCTTCATGTGGTGGTTCTGGCCTCTGTGCTGCACTGTGGTAAGAAACTCAAATGTCTTTTTATTGTAAAGAGCAGGACTTGGTACACTCGTCGACCACAAGTTCAGTGGATAGTTTCAGAAGAAAAAAAACAAATTTTTTCATAAACGTTTCATTCTTCAGTTGGTCAGACAGAAGCAGAAATGATGTGCGTTGTTGTGAAGATCTTTTCTTGTCCACAGGTGATCAAGGAGCCTCCACCTCCTCCGCCTCCTGAGCCTGTGAGTCAGAACAGCTGCACACACACCAACACATTCAGAAATTTAACGAGGAATGTTGCAAAATGGAAAAAGTCTGGCTTCTGTGTTTTCAGGAGTCAGATGACGACGATGGCCTGCCAAAGAAGAAGTGGCCCACTGTGGACGCCTCATATTACGGAGGAAGGGGAATCGGTGGAATCAAGAGGATGGAGGTGATCAGATCACATTGACGCAGTTCAACCAGACGGCTATGATAAAAACCAACAACAGGTCACTAACCGTTCCTGCGTCGCCCGCCGCCTGCAGGTACGATGGGGCGGAAAAGGCTCCACCGAGGAAGGGGCCAAGCTGGAGAAGCCAAAGAACGCAGTGGTGAAGATGCCGGAGCAGGAGTACGAACCTTACGAGCCCAAGCCCAAGAAAGCTCACAACAAGAAGCCGCCTCAAAACCGCAAGTGGTACACACCCATCCAGGTACACACTGCCGCACCAATGAGAGCACGCTCACCGTGATTCAGTCCAATTGGCGCGCAAACTTCAATCCCGTCACACAGGAGAGGCGGCTAACTAGCATAGACCACAGAAAAATGGAGAGACGTTTTCAAGAACGTGTTGCTGTCAGACAAGTTGCAGTTTCTCTGTCATGTCAACCAGCGTTAGCGACGAGACGGGCTGCGCAGAGACGTAGACAAAGATCAAGAAACAAACAGCTGATCTGTCATGTGAGGCGAACATTTGTTCCCTCACAACTTGTTTCCATTTCCACTTTAGCACATCGGCTGTTTTTCCGAAAAGCCAAAATCACCTTTTGTTTTTCAGTTCTTAACCACTGAATGTTGAAAATGGCCCATTAATGGAATCAGACACTCATTTCCAATAATCTCTGAGCTGATGGTGAAACGTAAAAAGTACCTGGAGTGTCTGCTGACTTTATGAATGAAGCCTTTCAGACAGTAGCAGCACTCACACACAGAAATACACACTCCCCCTTCAATACACATGCTGATCTCAGTGTATGTAATGTAAGGACATCACCGAGAAAGGCAGATCATTCATAACATTTAGAAATGCCATGTTGCGTATGAATGAAAAATGTTCCTCTTCAATATATATATTTTTTCTTTTTTAACACTCGCCAAACAGTTAGAGTTGGTGAAATTAGTCCTTTAAACTGGTTGGATCCACATGAATTTGAACGATCCTAGTTTGCAGACTCTGCAGCTTTCACGACCTTCCTCAAAATGTTGCATTTGAGCGTAAATAATATTACTTACAGCAATTTTTGGTTGCTGGTTTGGTCCGCCTCTGTTACGAAACCCGTTCCTGGATGGGAGAACACAAAACAGAGTCGCTTCGGTGACTCATGAATGATTTCTTAGCACGTTAGTTTGCCTTAAAACAAATTGAGTGATAGAAGTCAGATATGACTCCAGTGACGTAACCATGAAACCTTCCATCCTCTGCTGCTCAGGGTAAGCTGGACGCCATCTGGGCTCTGTTTCGCCGCGGTTATGACCAGGTTTCCCTGATGAGACCCCAGCCTGGTGACCATGTAAGTTACTCACACTTCAAAGATGTCGGCCTCTTTCTTTTAGTTAAAACTGGTGGACTTAGATGGAAGGTTATGTAAAGTTGTATTTTTCCAGAGTGAATGTAAAAAAAAAACTTAATTTATTTCACTATTCAATGCTTTCTAAATATGCATCTTGAGGGGGAAAAATTTTGTACACGATTTACAGGGAATAATTTATGATGGAAATGAGAGTGAAATAAAATAGCTTTTTTTTTACTTGAAACGCAGCAAAATCTGCTTTTACTACAATATCTTGCCGTTTCAGAGCAGAATTGATGGGATTGTATTTATTATTAGAAATACGTAAACAAAATCTTTTCATGGAACTTGAAATCTAACCTGGAAAAAAAAATGTTTGAAAACTGCTCAGATATGTAAACATTACCTTCATGTTTGACTCAGTGTATGTTTGTGTTTTGTGACCAGTCTTGTCAAGGGACTGCCTGCGATTAAGCTCGTGTTGTTGTTCCGGTCCGACGCATCAAATGTTGGCGTTTATGTTTGAGCCGTGCATTGTCCCGATCTAAAGGACGTTTGATTTCATTAATGATGACTTTACTTGAGATGTGTTTACATCAGGGACAGTCTGGTGGTGGTACGCGGGAAGAAACACCGGTTTTGCCACCATGTGAAGGGTTTTTACTTCACATGCTAGTTATTTACATCTGCAACCTTTGGAAACATAAACAAGATTTTAAAAAATTATTCCCGTTGGTAGCTGGTTTTAGTGGATGACTTGACTAGATCAAGCGTTTTTACTCTTTAGAGCTGTTTCCGTCGCCCCTGTGGAAATCTAAACCAAAAGGATTAGCAAACGCTTTCTTGCAGACCTTTGGACCCAGTGTGCATTTGGATTCCTGGACAGTTCAACTGGAGTCTCTAAGCCAGGCAATTACCCTCTGTAGAGTGAGACAGCACTGAGGTAACCAGTGCTTCAAAAAAAATAATGTGTCAGTCGTACATGAACCTCAAGCTCCTGGTGTCTCTGAGCGAGCGAACACCTCCGCTGGCTCGGCGCATGCTGTTGAGCCGATTCCTCCCTCACACCTGCTTTCCATTAGACGCTATAAATTAGATGAAAAGCAGAACCACAGCTCACATCCCTGTAGTTGGACAGGCTTCTTCTGCATTTTTTTTTTTTTTTTTTTGCTCAACTCTTTACCAGATGAACCACATGGTTCTGCTTTAATGCCCAGAGCATCTATCACACAGCACCACATAATAGCTGGCGATGAATGCGGAGAAAGAAAAGGCTTTACACTCAGAACAAAGCTGCCCCTGGGGGGAGCTTAGAAATACCTCGCAAACATGCAGTTTACTGTTCTGTTTATTCAAATAATCCTCGGTCATTTTTCAGCTCCTCCAGTCCCAACGAAGAATTTTTCCAGGTTCACTCTTTTTCAGCAGCTTGTAAGGTGGGGTAAATTAATTTGAAGTCACAATTTGCATGGAATAATTTGAGAGACAGCAAAAATTATGGCTCAGTGAAATATACTTCAGTTTTAATGTTCTGGTTTACGCAATTCCCAAGGAGAACGAACAATAGCCTCTCTTTTTTTAAATAGCATTATCACCCCAAGATCACGCGTTGTTCTTTTATTCAGGTTAGCTTTATTGTGTTTCCCCCCCCCCAACAGACTTACTGAGTTGCAGTACAAAGAAAGAACAATGTCAGTTCAGTTTCAACGCTTCGTTTTTCTTTCGTTTGCCGATTGCCAATAAACAGCTCAATGTGATCCAAGGTGCCGTTCTGTTGAGTGCAGTCTGCCGTCATCGAGCCGTCACATCGTTTCACACTGAATCAAAATCCCATTTCTCTTCTCTAGGAGCTGATGATGAGCAGAAGTGTCCAAATATCCCAAGCCACCCTGATGTACTGACAGACAAAAGATCTTGCATTAAATGTGATGAAAGCTGACTAAATCTTTGTGCTCATGAATGTTGAGGATCATCCAGTCTAAATTTTAGAACAAAGTCAGTCATTGTAGGAGTGTGTGTGTGTGTGTGTGTGTGTGTGTGTGTGTGTGTGTGTGTGTGTGTGTGTAGGGGGGGGGGGGGGGGTGTGTGTGTGTGTCACCAAACCACATACAGGACAGTTACATCAGAGGGACAGAATAAGCTGGTATTATATCCCCTTTCTGGACCAGCGGTTTGCTGGTTACAGGGTCAAAACTAATGTCAAAGACAGAAGACGCACAGGCCTGTCTGACCATGCCTCACCGACTGACCATGCCTCACACACACACGGGCGGAAATTTAATGCCAGAAAACGTTCTGGTCGCGGATGTCCAGCACAGCTTTAGAGAACAAAGAAGTGTTTCGGAAAATTTGAATATTTTCACAAAACAGTTTATATTATCAGGGTATTTTAGTCCAGATCAGTGCAGCATGTGTTGTTGCCTCTGCCAAGACAGGAAAAAAAAATAATCCTCCATATTTTGCATTTTTATGAGTGACTCTATCATTTTCCACTATGGAAAACCATGTTCCAGTGGTTTCAGCCATTCACACTGCTTATTAACAGATTAGCATTTCTCCTATCCACTCTTGACGACCAACCACACAAATCTGGACAAAAGGTAGAGTCTGAGCACTAAAAGAAACTTCTGTGAATTTCTCGAGTTAATAGGTTTTCCAGTGTTACAGGCATTTAAAGGGCTTACTGAAATCTGAAAACTTTTTAAAACGTTTTCTCTTTTTAGAAAACAATGCTGATCTTTTCTGGTGTCTGTTTTTTAATCCTTATCAGCGTTTTTTTTGCTAATTAGCTTAAACTTAACATGACACTAAACCAGAGGTCTCAGATGCTGGTCCTCAGGGCTTAAATGAATGCAGCAGTTGGATTCATCCTAAAGAGCGAATTAAATCATTTTAATTCGTCCTACATGTTTTGTCCTACATCAAAAACATGTAGGACAACAGGTTGGGGACTGCTGTACTCAACTAAGTAGTGAGTGAAAGATGATATTCCAGTGTATGGGGACTAAGAACTGGTTGACAGCAGGGAAGAGTCCTCAAGAGTTAACACAAGGACTTTAATCTCCTCTCATTTTCATTTATTTCTATTGCTTATGGCCTTGACTCTCACCCAAAGCACAACCAATACCAATGCATGTCTAACCCTAACTCAGTTCACACCTTAGTCCTGAACCTAAACCCCAACCTTAGAGCACTTCTCCTCATGAGGACCAGGCTTCAGTCCCCACAAGTAGCAGTGGGTCTGCATTACTTTGTTTTCACAATGCAATAAAAACAAGCTCTAAGTTTTGGCTACCCACAAAATCCTGCGGTATCATTCACTTCCTATTTTTGGAGTTGTCTCTGGTCTGCTTGCATCCACTGGGCATTAGGACCACACCAGAGTTCAAATTAATGAAACCAAGACCTACATTTTTTAGGTGGACCAGAGTTCACTTTATTGATCTCCATCAGAGTTCGATTGCACATTCACACCTCCCCATATGAACCAGTCTCTCAGGGCAACCTAAGTAGAGTTTGATTAAAGTGAACTAAACAGGATTGGTGTGAATGCAATCCAAGTGTTCTGCATTTGGTTTGCCTAAACATTCACATGTACTTCTTTCTGTACAGGGTCGATGCATCAACTTTACAAGAGTAAAAGACGATTCGGCAACCAAGGCCCCACCCCGTACTCCAATTCATGCGCCATCGCCGCCTCCGCCGGACTACCGTCTCGTTACCCGCTCCGCCTCCTCGTCTCCTACCTCTTCCAGCCCACCAGCCAGGTCACCACCATCAGGCCAGGTGCCTCCGGGGCCCCCGCCGTCCCGCACGCCTCCAGGGCCGCCTTGTCCTCCACCAGCCCGTCCTCCACCCTCCCTACAGCCCTAAATCATTCAGAAAAACCTTCTCCGCCCTCCCGCCCTATACATTTTGATATCACATTGATATTACTACCCGTCTGAGCATGTGTTTAATCTTAAAGGAGGCGGTCCTGCTGCCAAGTATCCTCCTGCCTTATAGCAAAGATCAGCTGCATGCTGAAGCTGAGACATGTGTCTTCCTTCTGTCGTCTGGGATAGAGTCTCAAGCTAAGCTGCAAGCTCACAACTATAGTCATGTGACATGCTCCTGTGCCTTTACATGGTTAACTACAGATTAAGAATGTGCTTGAGTTGAATGCTTTCTGTAACTAATGCCAAAGCAAATGCTGCATAAATCGAAGGGCAAAAACATTTCTTTGAACTGTGGTTTAACTTGACATTCTATCTCACACAGATCACGTAATGCCATTTCTGAGATCTTGAAAGGATTGTTGCTGGACAGCAAAGCAAAGAAGAAAGGGATGTCGATCGATGTGTATGGAAAGATATTCAAAAATTGTCTGTCTTTATCAACTACTGAGTTTTGTGGTTTCTGGTTATTTCTTGCCACCTTCTCCATTTCGTATCTATGCGGTTTTGATGATCTAGTGCCCGACTTTTTGGGTCTGACACAATACGTTTTGTACGATATGAAACTCCTGATTTACTAAGCCAAAATTGAATTTTTAAGTATTTTGAAAACAAAACTATTACATAGTCCCTTTGCAACTACATCATTGATCAGTTGAGGCGCCATGATGGACGTAGTAAGTGACTGACGGGAGTATTAAACAGAGAAGACTGCCATTGTTCTCCCAAATTGTTTTTGCCAGTATAGCCTCAGCTTGCACTCGATCTTTCTAATGGTACAAAAGGTAAATGCCTTTTTTTGTACCTTACCTTCTTTCCTCAACATAAACTTTACGATAAAATGACAGGTCTGGTTTGCGTCCTTGTCTGTTTGTGCAGCATTCTATGAAATCAACTAAATAAATGCGATGTTAGGCTACCGACCGTCAGTTAAACCACGTCCGTCATGGCGGAGTGGGTCGGATTCTGAAGAGTGTGACGTCACGTGCAAAGGGTCAAATACACTACGGCTTAAATATATGAGTATAAAGAAAGGTTATTGGTGATAAGTACCAAATAGATACAGGAACAGACAAAAAACAGGAATCCATTAGATACAACACAACGGTACGAATTTGTGAAAGGAGCGACCCAGAACCACTTAGGCTGATGATGTAAAGGCAAGAAGCAACGTTTTGAATGAGATGTACGTGGATTGGCAAACAGAAGGTGTTGGAGTGGCACTTTTCCACGTTAAATGCTACTCAGAGATACCTTGAAGCAGCAAATATCAGCAATGTATTGGCATAAATATTACAGTGTGTGGTTGAGATTTGAGGCCCAGTTTAAGCTGACGGGAGGATATGTGTTTTTTTTGTTATGTATTTCAGGTGTGTTTTAAATGTTATGTTGATTGAAATGTTTCAGGTTTGAATTTTGGAGTAAGTAGAGAGGGAATATGTCATTTTGTATGTTTGTTTCCTTTTTTTTCTTTTTTTTTAATCGTTTTGTGTTGATATCCGAGCACATCATCTGTTGAGCGACCAGAGGACGTGTTTTTGTTTTGTCAGCATCTGGACACTGAAACTAATGCAATCAAGCATCCAGACATCAGAATCAGGTCTATCTTTTTTTTTTTTTTGGTTTTGTTTTTGCTTTTTTCAGTTTTTTTGTCAGACATTTTGATACTGTATTTTGTTGAAGTTCTGTGTGTTTTACGTTTTTAGTTTTGTCATTCACCACCGGTCACATTGCAACTGCAGGGCAGTTCAAAGAGCATCTAATTTATTTTACTCCCCGACAGAAATGCTGGAGAGTATCGAAACAATTGACAAGGTGTCCAATCACTGACATTGACACTGTGCGAATTTAAAAAACATACATTAGTTATCTGTTAAGAAGATCACATTAGGCATGTCAGCGTTGCATGGCACTTTAGCTACACTGTAAAGCAGGTCGCGTAAACTAACAGGTCGAGTACAATTTAATGTCGTTACATCTGGGAAAGTTAAAAATGACAAAAAAATAATAATAATTAAATAAAACTATATTATTTTTTAGGGCATTAGCAGAAAAAGTGGGCTGCAGCGCCACCTTGTCTTAATCAAGGGACATAGCAACTACACAGAAACCTTTCTGTTTATTAGTATATATTGTACTGATATTCTCAGCAGCAGCAAAATGAGTATCAGTGTTTTGGGGTTTTTTATTAGTTAGCTTTTTTTAATTACTTAAACAAAACAGTTGATTTTAGCACTGACAAAAAAAAAGAGTCAAATTAGGCCCCGGATAGATTGATTTTTTTTTCTAAAAAAAAAAAAAAGCATGGCTGATGTTGTCATACCCATGCCACCACAGTATGAGGCGACAAAGTTACAAAGTTAATATTCTCAACCTCAAAATCTTGATTTTGGCTAATATGGTATCACACAGTATTTCCCCCGCAAGAGTTTCTTTAGTTTACAATACAGGTTTGATATTTAGAGAGTCGGAGTGAAGCAAAAAAAAAGTTGTGGAAAATTTCTTAGAATCCACTCAGCTCATATTGAAGGTGACAGTGAGTCTGTGTGTCATTATATTCAGTATGTTACAGACATCCAGGCTGTACAGATCTGTACTTTTAAAAATATTTTCTCTTTTCATTCCAAAAGATTCTTTGTACATGGATTGGAGGTGCAAACAAAGAAGAAACATGTTTGCAAAAATGTTTCTGTCGTTGTGGACAGTGTGTAAAGCTCGCAGTAGTAGCGCAGCACAGCTCCACAGGAATTCAGAAAAGTGGTTATTTAGATCGCCTGTAGGTAATTGCAACAAATTTAAGGCTTTTTATATTTCTGTTTATTTATAGGAAATTAATAACAACCATGACATAAGTTCTAATCATCTGGTTGATTATATCTAGACTGAATGTTCTTCTGTTAAAGACTTTTCACATTTTCTTGCGTAAACTTCACCGGTTCTTCCCGCTGACCCTGTTAAAGGCTCTAGAGAAGAAGTTTGCCACACACGTAATCCTGTTTTACAAAGCCTTCTGGAATTTTTGTTTCATTTTGCGTGTCTTGGTTGTGGTTTGTATTATTTTTGAAACATGGGCGTTTCAGCGATTTTTGTAACATGCCGACTCACTGACTGTACTCAAAAGTTTCTGTGCTTCAATTAAATTAGTTACTATGTTTATGTTGCAATCGCCTTGAACAGAATGACACAGACGAGACACTTAGCTTCATGTCCTTGTTGTCATTTACACATTCCTCCTGTTTTGAGTTGTATCATTATCATTGTCTTTAGCATGCTATAATGACTGAACGTCACATTACATGTAAGTGTAAAAACCTGTTGCATTTCACATCACTGTTCTTCAGGAGCTGGAATTAGCATTAAGGCTTCCCAAAACACAGTTTTTTTTGTTTTGTTTCGGGGGGGTTTATGACAAACTAATTGATTCATTCAAGTAATTTTTTGTTACTCTTTGAAGGAAACTTTTCACAGCTTTTTACATGAGCAGTATAACCAGTAGTATCAAAAACAATGTAAAAGGTGGTTGATTTGCTATTGTTAGCTGATAACTTTTTTTTCACAGTACCAATAAAGTTTTGCTCTTAACCTTCTCCTGGAAAAAAAATAATAATCATTTTTGTACATTTCCGTGTCACTGTCTGCATGTTTGCAATTGCAATTGGTATTTGTTCAGATCATGGGTTACAATAATTGTAACCCCTAAGCCTCAATGACAAGCATCTGTATCACTGTCACAGAATCAATCCAACCATACTACGCAGCTGCTTCACTCAGATCGGGATGCTAGATGCTCGAAACTGAAAAAGTAGTTAATGGTGACATTTGGGAACAGTGAGAGCACAGACAGTTTTTCCTAGATGGTTAGTTTATCCTCTGACATACATTGAAAAAACAACCTATGGAAAGTAATATATCCCTGAATATGATTTAGCAGAACACTGTGAATTCAACCACTTTGAGCTCAGTTTGCACACACTATTCAAAACAGGAGGGCATCAGATGTCACACATATATTTCAAAAAGTGGCACAAATGTCCTTCATTTCCTCCCATTTGTCTTTCACCATGCCAGCATTCATGGGTAGACAGAACGCAGCATAATTCAGCAGCCAGTTATTAACATGTTAAACCTAAGCTGAAGCGTAGCAGACAGTTAGCATCCTCCACATCCCAGGACAACAGCTGGCGCAACCTAGCTAGCTGTTGTGCTATGTGAAAACACATTCTCTGTTGTGGAAGGGTTTCCACACTTTGTATTTGATACAGTCAGAAGAGCGACCATGAGCGCTTCCAGCTACATAATTAGTGTGGAGTCTACATTTTTTCCCCTCTGCACACAGAGGATCGGAAGATGTGGGATGTCAAAAGGGGCTGGATCCGAAAAAAATGAAGAAAAGAATGGAGAAAATGAGGCAGTCAGTCCTGGAAGCAGACAGGAGGGGGTGAGCTTGCAAAATAATGAAAAATAATAATAAAAAGTGCAAACAACAACAGCTTGGACCCTCTCTCTCTGTCCCATCGAGTTCACCAAAGCAATACTTAAACGGTCTATAGCAATTCTTAAACATCGATCCCGTCTGGAAGGTTTGAATGGGCTCTGGATGAAAATGTTCCATAAAAGACCTGCAGTTGTAACTGCAGTGAATTTTACAAAATATCGAGTCGCAACAGTCGTTTCAAAGGGTTTCATCACTGTGAACCTTTTTCCCTTCCATTGTTCATTTTATATTATTTGAGTTAGTCTGTCATGAATCCCGATAAAGTGCGTGGAGATTTGAGGATAAGTTCAGAAACATAAAACGTGCATGTTGTCAGCTGGAAGCGTTTAGCGTGATTGTGTGACAGTGGCCATCAGGGGTTCAGACTGGCAGATTTATGGAAGCATGCGGAGCCTTAAACTGGCGGATGGAAGGGTGATGTGCGTTTTCATAATCGGCGTAATCTTGAGCATCTGTGTCAAGTTTGAAGAAATGAACTTGTTAAACTCTGCGGTTCAGATGGAAGAATCCGAGTTTTTGTTGTTTTCTTTTACGCCCTGACAGCCAACCTAAAATTTTGTTGGGTTGCTTTTTTTTATCTTGTTTTTTTTTTTATACACCCTAATCTCCAAACAAAAGCCTTGCTGGCTGGGTTAACAAACGGCATGTTAATGGTTCTGCAGTCGCACCACAACAATCATTTCTATGCTACAGCTTCGTTTCTGGTCTGGCTCGTAGACCCTCAGACGATATTTGTGGGAAGTAAGCTCCTCCCATCAACCGCCAGGCTGAGGGCACATTCATGGGAAACTGCCTCAAAAATATATCGCTGTAGAAATCTACAACTGCTGCAACGAATGTCTAGTTCTGATGAGAGCTGACGGAGGTGTCGACTAAATATACAGCTGACATGTTTACGGCGAATCTCGGTCACTTTAACCTTCCCCGTTCCTCCATTTTTATTTTTTTTTTCGTCTTTCCCGCTGCCAGAAGAAAACCGAGGCCAAGAAGAATGTGCTGATGTCTGAGTGTTTCATCTTGGTCTCACATTACCGCCTAGACTGAACCTCACTGACCCATCTCAAGCAGACACACACACTCACACACACACACGCACGCACACACACACACACACACACAGATGTTGGTATTTGTCTTTGTGGCTGTATTTTGATGCTTCCAGTATCCTTGGTGACCGTGTGGGGAAAACAGCGGGCTGGAAACAGCTGTCCTGTGAGCGCGGCGGTGGTTCTTCTGTCACCACATTCGCTTGGTTCTAATCCTGGACACAAAGCCGCAGGGGGGTTTTGTCGTGAGGGTTTGGGGTTAAATCAGATCCAAAAGAAACAACGACGTTTTGACCTAAAGCTGCGGTATGTAAGTTTTATTGAAAAATGTGTATTTTTGATATATTTGTTGAAACTGTACGTGCGGCATCAGGCAGATAATCTGGGAAAAATATTGAGTTCCTCTGCCTTCACCCACTTTTAATAACCCAAAAAAAAAAAACTAACAAAAAAAAAACAATCAGTGGCAGGAAGCCGCTGTTAGTGTTGTCAATGAGGGCGGTGCAATGGTTTTCCTGTAGCGTTAAGTTGTTGCTCCGCCATTAGCACATTGAGCAGAGAGTGAATTAGCTTGATTGACAGCGCTAAGCCCCTCCTCCTGGCTCTGATTGGGGGGGGTTTTTGTGCATTCCTCCAGATGGCAATGGCAGCTCACAGAAGAGATTGATCTTTTCTCATCTTATAATCTCTTCCTGGCCATTTGTTTGATGAGCCGGACAGAGAAACATTTCCCACATCAGCCAAATACACAATCACGTTAATCTTCCATTAAGCTTTCATCATCCATACATCATCAGTCATAAAGCTTTGGTATCTTTGGACTGAGGGAGTGAAAATGGGAGTGTGGGTCGTAAACATCTGGTGAAATAAACATGGAGCAGATTCAACAGAAATCTTCCACCTGGCTGTCAACCCTGACCTCACTTAGTCACTGCTCACTAGTAGCTTCGCAACAGTGGAGTTTTGGGAACCCTCCAATCGGATTCCATGGAAAAGCGGCACACTCGTGTTCCCGTAAGCTCAGAGCGCGTCACAGCTCCCACTGGAGTCAAGTTTCATTTTAAGATTTGACATGCTTTGGCTGCACGTTCATTAATCTCCTGATAATTACCATTGACGAACCGACGGATGATTCAACTCCTCACGGATGAGATGCACTCTGGGGGTTTTTCTCTCGTCCGTGTCTCAGTCCACACCGATGAACACGAAAAACTCACATTGACCAGAAACGACAAGCCATAATCAGCTCAAAGCACAGAAATCAAGAATATGCGGTAAGAAATAAATGTCTTTCAACATGATATTCTCACACACAAGGCTCAAATCTTGTACATGGAAAATGTTTTGCTCGCTGTGAATTTCAGCAAATAGAAACAGAAATTAGTTTCTGGTTTAGTTTGGAACGTCGAGATGTAGAATATTTCCTCATCAGTTCCAGTCCTGCATTCACATGTCAATTCACGAACCTTTTACCGAATTATATTTTATGCTACATACAAAATCGGGAAAACATTTCTTCACACCCAACACATGAACTGTTCAGGAACAAACGTAATGTTTTTTTAAACTCAGGAAGACCAGGGAGTTTCCTCAAACATGCCTGAGTGAAGTCAGATTCAGATCGGAATGACATCACTTCCAATTTCACCTTTGGTGCAAGATAAAAAAAACAAAACAAATGGGACACATGTGCGTTAAATGTTGTTTCAAGGGAGCGCACTAAGTAATACAAACCTGCGACAATGTTTTTCTTATTTCAGACAGACTTACGATCCATTCACTGCCAGAAGTTGCACGATCCTGGTACTGGTAGTGAATGTGACTCGTGAATTACAGCAAAAGGTTTCAATATTTTCTGATATGCAACGTTTTATAAAAGATTCACATAAAAACGTAAAGAATTTTCAACTTTCGCATTATATTTTGAGATTCCGTACCCTTTTTTTTTTTGATCTATCACTTCTAATACTTAGTCATTCACAAAGAAAAGTTTAAAGCAAATATGTCTTTTTTTTCCTTTTTCTTTTCAAAGAAAGCCATAGAAGTGTTGTTTTTCCCTGTCAATTTTCATTTATTTCTGACAATTTCAACACATCATGACTACTGACACAAGGGCCACCGCTGTGACATGACCATGAAGACACGGCCCATTAGCACAAGCTGTGTTGTCAGAAGAGCCCAAGAATTTTACCGTTCTACATCAACCTGATCTTTTCGGCTCTTCCTCTGTTTGCGTTTCGCTTATTTCATCTGTTCAGATAATCCGTGCTGCAGCTGCCATGCCGGTTCTTTCCCAGTCGAGGGTGAAAGGAATTACAGTTCTCTGATGCAAACGTGGCACCAAGAACTGCCCTCAGTGCCCCCCCAAAATACTCCCCTTCCCTCTCCCCGACCCCTCCTCCTCTTCCACACTCTTCCTCCTCCTTTCTGCCAAACCAGTGTGACCACTCAGGCCTCCGGGGCAACTTGTGTGGCACAGACTCCCCTCCCCATCTCCGCCTCCACTTCCTCGTCTCTCTTGGGGTCTGTCAGTCTTCTTCCATGTTGGTTGTTGCTCGTTTGGGTTTTTGTCTTTTTTTGCTCGCCCTAAACATTCTGTTGAATTTGACCAATTTTACCCCTTTATTGTCTGTGTGTGAAATGTGCAGGTGGGACAAGAGTTGTGGATAGATGAAAGTTTTACTAGATAAGTCAAGCTTAGCTCAGACGGTCTCCAGTAAACCCCATTGTAACTTTTGGCTTTGATCGCCGTTCAGCCCTCCGACTGTCAGACACAAAGCAACACAACTGGTCCCTTCCAAAAACACACACACAACCACACCCTTTTTGCTCTACAGTTGCAGGTGTTTAGGACGGTGATACAGTCAGGATGAAGCTACTGGCGTCTCACAACACGGCCCGTGACAAACCCGGGACATGCTGGCGCGTCCCGTTCGCCGTTGTACTGGTACGACGCAACGTTGGGCGTTTGGGTTTAGCCCTGCCTCCCAAGTGAAATTCCAACTGGTGGTGGAAGCAATTTCCTGAATCTACACAACCATAAAGAAGTTCCATCGATCCGTGACGTTTCCAAGGCACTGGTGGACCTGCAGAAACAAGAGGGGTTCGGTAATAAATGACTGGATGTGGCAGGTAATATATCTGCCCCGCAGATGACTGCCCATGTGGAGGGTATCTCTGTTGACATTTCTTATTGGAAGCACAACCAAAGAGCTGGTTCAATTTTGGTTTGCAGTAACAAAAACCAAAATTGCTTTTACTGCATTGGTAATAAAATTGCGCAAATTGGAATTAGGAAAATAAATGTGCTTACTGGAAACTAAAAACAAAAAAAAAACTCAAGTTTATTGTTTACATATTTAAAAGCCCTCACTCAGCTAAAAACGGTTTTCATAAACCAAACATCCAGACAACAAACTCACAAATCTTCGTTCAGTTCTTAATGATTCTGAATAATGAAAAGGCTGCTAATTTTCACTGGATGTTTATTTCCTTTTAAAAGATCTGCATTTATTTTGGCGGACCAGAAGAAGAAGGTTAACCCTGGGCAATGTTCCTGCAATAAACTATCCCTGGTGCAAAGTTTAGATTGTGTCTGACTGACAACCCATCCGTAACATAGACTATATAAACTTTTAGTGTCTACAATTCTTTTACCAACAGAGAAAAAAAGGGGCTTGTGACATCAACATGTCCACATCTATAAACAGTTTAACTCTAAAGCTAAGGCAGCTCCTCCAGAATTCACAGGCCTGTGTGTCTGACCTCCAGGTGACCTCCGTCTCACCTGCTTCCTTTAGTCTGGGATCAACTGGCTTCGATGGCGTTCATATCAGTGACTCACATCCTGTCTGCGTCGGGGAGAATCCCTGAGCTGTACCAACGCTCTGAGGCAGACTGCTGACCGGGAAAACTAAAGGAAAGGAGTTCTGCAGATGCATGCAGGGAAAATGAGGGACTGGTTACTTTGGCAATGGGTTAATTAATGAATCCGTTGGTCTTGAAGGTGAAGGACAGAGTGTTTCTGCGTCGTTTTGGTTGGCTCAGTTAAGCAACTGATGTGGTTGGGGGGGTGCAGGAACGGAGATGTATTTGGTTGGAGGGAGAACAGGCTTGAAGAAAAGACGAGAAGTGAGTCAAACTAAAACATTACAACAGAACCGTTACAGCGTCAGACCTCAACTGAATGCCACGTTTAAAGCTTTATGAGTTTTCTAGCCACACAGTGTCATATCATATCAATGTTAATTTCAGTTTTTATAAAAATGCTGTATGTACCAAATAGGACTGTCTCTTTAAAAACTCCTGCTCTGTGTGAAGCTCCGCCTTCAGGAAGTCATCCCAACATGGCTCCTCTGTTGACCCTTTGACAACATTTTACCAGCATTTCACTGAGAAGCAGCTCCTATAATGAGCTCAGCAGATGCTCAGTTCCACCAGGCGTTTGCTAATTGCTGATGGCTAGTCTGAAGGAGCAGAGTGGGAAAGAGCTGCTCTGTGAGGTGGAAGCTTGGAAACCACTTCGCTTCGATGGCTGCACTAGGTCCATCCAGGTGTTTTTACACAGCTGAATGGTTGCCATGGAGATTCAAGGATTTAAAAAGAAGATTTTTTTTAAATTCTAGAGAGAATCAAGGCATCACTCCAGGTGCGTTTTTGATGAGGGAATAACATTGTACCATGATATAAAGCTCAAAAAAGTCGATTTTATGTGATACTGTCCCTTTAAAGAAATAACCTGAACAGAACCACCGAACCCCCAGCCAGGTAGACCCCCATTCACTAACCCCTCAATGTTTTCCACCACCAACCTAAGTCCGTAGCTTTGAAACTCTCCTGCAGACTCTCCTGTGACGTGGCCCATCAGGCCATCGGGTGAGTAGGTTCAAACTGCTGCTTTACGCCTGGAAGAATTAGGTGAGTCACACACCGGCTGCAGCCTTAGGGAGGGTTTTAGCCGCAAGCCAGGTGAGCGTTGGGTAAGTGGATGAACGACCCTTGCAATGCAGGGATTGTCCGGCATAATCAGAACACTTATGCGCACACAAACACATGCATGGGATTTTCTTCCTTCATCCGTTCCCGTTTAAAGTCCTCCACTGTGCCGGATTGGAGTGTGCATTGCATAAGAAACAGCAGGGTTGTTTTTTTTTTCAACCCTACGGACGACTTCCAGGTACGACAAATGAAGAAATCCCTGAAAAACTGTCAACTGTGTCATCCTGACGGAAATCAGATGAGTGTTTCGAGATCACTTTCTAAAGGAGCGAGTCTCCCTGCAAACTGACCCCAAAACTGCAACTGGAGAGAATTAATAGGGAGGCAAATATGTTCCGAGTGAAGTCAAAACCATAATGGACTGTGAAAATGCTAAGTTTTGATCTGTTAAACTGTTGCTGAGAAACTCAATCTAAAATTCCACCAAACGCAGCCATGCACGCTCAATGTGCCCCTTTCCCCTGCCAGTGTGGAGGTACTCAGGCGAGAGTGGAGGGATGTGGTGAACGCACACGTGATGCTGATGTCGAGTAAAATATTACAATGCTAATGGAAAAACATTTTTTCCTTAAAATAAAAACTGGAAAGCACCGGAGTCTTTTGATAGTGCAAGACATCATCGACGTAGGAAAATCAGCAGAAATTGGAGCTGGGAATTTCAGCTTGTGGCGTTTCCAGTGCCAGCGCTGGTGAAAATGTACGCTCAGGGTCTGAATGAAGCTTAAACGGCTCTGTTTTCACCCCAGCATTTAAATGGTACTGGGAACTACAATGATTTTTACAACCTCTCTAAACAAACAGCGTCAAGCAGCTTGAGACAGAAATTTCCACTGTAAACCCAACATGTGAGGAGCAGAGCCCACCAACCAGAATAGCCAGAGATGTTCTGGTTGGCCGAGCAGTTTTTGTAGCTAATTCAGATTGCTAAATTTTGTAGCTAAATCCTGTAGCTAATAAATAAAATAATAAATAATAAAATAAAAAAATATCTATGCAAAATGGTTTCAAAATTGTTTCGAGTCAATTTCAGTCAGAAATTGTCTTTTGGTGACTTAAATCAACAAAACATATTTCACACATACTTTTTCAGTTTTATTTCTCCTCACTATGTCTAATGTTCAGTGCTATGTCAATATGTGATCAAACTCTAAAGTGGCTTCATAGGAAAAGATGGGAAAGAATCTCCTTACAAGAAAAAAAAAAATCACATATTTCAGATACTGAAGTTTTTTGGAAATTCCAAATGGTGCCATCTAAAACCAAGACAACTTATTCCTATTTTCATGACAACTTGAAAAGCTGCCGTTGTCATCCTTCCATTCATATTTTATGTCATCACTTGACTAACCAACCAACTGTCAATGAAAGCTCAATGCTCTCCAAAGTGTCTGTGAATCCCCCCATTAGTCAAATCAGAAATCTGGTCAGACTTGTAGCAGTTTCAAGCATTCAGCAATTGGAGGCGAGTAACCGACCACCCTTATGACGATAAGGGTGGTCTGAGACTCAGAACCTTAACGGCTTCATTATAGCGTACAATGAAATTAAGTTACACTTCTATCAGTTGAGGGCGGTGGCATTAGTCATCTTCATGTGTCATCTTCACACCATGGAATTCTTCAGCACGTAGAAAATAAAATCTGTAGCACCAATGTGTTAGCTTGACCCTTACGCCACCCAATTCTACCTACTGAGATGCAAACTTTCACGTCAGATTTCTAAATGTGCTGTTGAAATCCAAGGCTGGTGTGTAATTACTGTTTCTCCTTGGGCCAGGTTCACAGTGACAAAGAAGCAAAACATGTTTTTATATCCACTTCTGAAAGCTTCATGACGATAAGGGTGGTCTGAGACTCAGAACCTTCACGGCTAATGAGACTTAACCTCAGTCGGTGAGCGTTTCCCAGAGATTACGGTTACAGAACCCCATGACATAATGTTATATAACTACTGGCTACCCATTTGAATGGTAAACTACTGGTCAGTGAGACTGGAAGCCACAAAAAAGAGGGAACTGGAGCATGTGGGTTGGGAATTTCCACATTTCAAGGGAGCTGTTTAGGGGTTTGTTGGAGGATGGGGGAGGATAGTACCTATTTCTTTGTTTCAATTAACTGTTTAACAATTTTCAGAGCAGACACACAAAACAGTTTAATTCAATGAGGCCAAAAACGTAAAGGAATGTACTTTTTTTTCTTCTTCTAAATAGCGAGCGCTGACATTGCTGTGGTTTCGTGAGGACTGCCAAACAATCCGACGAGCATGGCAGTTTTGGACAGGAAAAAAAAGCAGGAGACAAAGTGAAGAATAAGTGTTGTAAATCCAGTGAATCCCTTATACATCGGTGCGTAACCGGTTTCTTATTAGAAACCTGTCTGCTGTGGCGCCAGGTCACCGTGGGTCCATCAGAATTCAGGGTAAAACCCATTGGGCGAGAGACCAGAAACACACAGCTCTCCCTGTGAAATCCCACCATCAATAGGGGCTTTTTTCCCCCCAAACTCAGAGTACCACTGTCCCCCACAGACTCTCTGTTGACTGTTTTACAGAAACCAAGGCAGAAAAACTGCCTTAAGACCTTCCTCTCTATGTGCCACCCCGTGTGCGCGGCTAATGCCGGAACAGCATCCTTACATAATCAGAAAATACCTTCTGTGGCTTTTTGGAGAAAAACCGACTATGCTGACACACTGAGTAACTTCCTGTTGCTCAGACAGAAGGATAAGCATTCAACAGCTTTTCTTTGTCATAAACAGAATTAAAGCTGGTGATTTTTGTAACCTCCCCCACCAAGCTGTGGAAGAAAGTGCAAGACGCAGCTACTTGTGGTTTGAAATGTGTTTCAGAAAATGGGTGATTAATGAGTGGTCATCAAGAAAAACATTGATTGCATAAAAAAGAAAGTGCTGTAGCGGTGTTTGTCTGGCCTCTTTCATTTCTCGAGTGGTTGTGAAACACCAACTCCTGTAGTTGTGTCGCAGGTAGGAGAGCAACAGGAAAATGTGGAAAAACAGATGGAACCGAGCTTTATGAACCGGATCGTTTCCTTGAACGTCAGTCACATGCTAAAAATGGACACATTTGCCAAGAGAAGACTGGAAACAAACGAGGTTCTCCATGTTTAAGCAACCTTTGTTCCCATCTGTGCACATGAACACAGCGCCATCTTGTGGTAAACAGGGAAATTGATATTTCTCAAATTTGAAATATAATTATCTTTGAAAACTTCATTTTGCCATAAGCTCAAAACATGTATTAAAATAGCGCAATATGCAGAATGATTTTTGATTATTGTGGCTTACAGTTAATATAAAGCCAAACTTCAGTTTCTCAATTTTAGAATGACGAGAACATTTGAACAATTTTTAATACTTGGAAATGTAGTTGGAAAATCGATGCGAGTCCCGTGTTTTGAAATGACCTACTGAAATTACATTAAACTTAATGAGGTGCATTTGTTGGTCGTCTCCAGTGGGGGAGTGGGGGGAGACTGAAGGAAAAACGAATGCAAGAAATGCTTCCACAAGTTTTACTTTATTCAACAGTTTAAAAACATGATTTTACATAAAATCAGCATAAATGAACAGTAAAATAACTTGTAAATGTCATGACCTTAACATTTTCCTCTGACTAAACAAACCCATTTTTTAAAATAAATGTTTTAGTGCTTTATAATGGCTGTTCTGTGAAAAACAAAAATCTAAACCTCAAACTTAATTTAAAGTTCTTAAAGGCAAGAATAGTGAGTAATACACAGAGTGGCAGCTCCTTGCTGATATAAGAATATAATCTCTTAATCTCACGTTATGGCTTCTGTTTAATTTCATAGTCGTTTTTGGGGGTCCATTTGTGTAGCAAAAAACAAATGTCCACAACATTTACATTACCCTGTCATGTGTTCTGAGGTGTACAAAATGTTATCCTTATAGAAATTTTACTCCCGTTTCTTCAGACGGACCTGAATGTTCAGAGTTTCCGACGTGGACAGACTGAAACTCTACGCATCTCTGGAGATGCTGTGAGACATTTTGGGAACCTCTCCTGAAAAATTGACATCTCAGACAAATGATCGCTACAAAAACAAAAGCAATTTTTTTACTTTTTCTTCTTTTTTTGCAAACAAGCAACCAAATACAGGTGAAAAATCAATCAAGTGGGACAAATTCACAGCTTTGGAACCTATAAACACACATTTGTTGTACTATGTTTTTACGAGAGCAAAGATGAGACGGCAAAAGAATCAACCCTTGGCTATATGACCTCCATCCTGGAGGATATGCTAAAGGGAAATGTTGAAAATTGTCCGACATACAGCAAGGAATTTGTTTTTTTTTTACTTACATGGCTTTACATTACTGATTGCACTCCAAGAAATAATGAAAATCAGATCCATCAGGTTTTAAAAACAGGTAAACGCACGCCTTGAAAAACAGAGGTTTTTCTTTTGTTACCTGAAGTTGTAATTTTAATTAAAAAAAAAAGAACATATTTCTCTTCTAAAACCATCAAGAAAGTGAAAAGCGTGTTTACCGTTTGTGGTCAGTTTCTTGACCACCAAGGGAAATAAATGGTGTGGGGAAGCACCGAACTATAAGCATTAAATAGTGAAATGTTGGAGCACGAGTCGGGAGCCGGTTAAAGACTCTTTTGAGATTAAGTGGTTACTGCACGCGCGCTTTACTGGACCCAGACAACTAGAATAGCGGCTCCTTTTCTAGGTTCTGTGTAGAGCTTTAATTATTTCTGAATCCCTTTGAGTTTCACAAAACACAAAATACGAGAACAGATAAACGTCCGTAACAAAAAAAAAAAAAAAAAAGAGGATCAAGCACCGACTTTCTAGTCGGGGCTCAACTCAGCAAAGATGGCGGTTCAATAAATGAACTCCCCCTGAAACTAAGAGGTTCCTTCACAGCTAAGGTGGACAGGCTCACTGATAAGCGACGGTTTGGCTTTCAGGCTGCGCTCGGTTTGTTTGAAGAGAGACAGAGAGAGAGAGAGAGAGAGAGAGAGAGAGAGGTGTGTGAGTACGTTTCGTAGAAAAATAACCATTTGCAGCCATGAGGCGACGTGCTGGTCCTGATTATCAGACCGCAGCTGGGCTGGACTCTACTTTCACACAACTCTGTTGCTTTAGAAACCAAAACAATGCGAGGTCTGTTGTATTGCACATATAGGAAGAAAATAATAAAACTTCTTGTTCAAGTCTGTGACATTTGTGGTGGAGTATTCCTGTCAGAAGCACTGGTATGGAAATGACTTTGAAAAGAGACGAGGACTGTAATGAAATGTTCAGGAGAAATGAGCAACTGGAGCGGAGAGAGAAAACGACGCCCATCTCACTATTTTTAGATAAAGCACTCAAAAGCTTGAAAAACATTGAACAATTAATTTCCTTTCCAGTCTTCATTCATTGGTGGGCCATTATTTCACTATTTTTAATACGACATGCCACCACTAGGGGGAACCAGTCGTTCAAATCAACCTCTGAATCTCTGAATCTGGGTTTTGGGTCGTAGCTTTGACTCACTGCTCCAGGTTCGTTTCTAAGCTGGTGAAGGGAATTTTCCTGTATAGTTTCAGGGAATATGAAGTGATTACAATCATCAGCTGGAGAGAGAGAGAGAGGGTGGGTGGGGGTCCACTAAACAATAAGAAACAGAACAGAAAGGGGCAGTAAGGCTCCTCCTAGTGGTCATGAAGCCATCTGAAAGGCAGAAAAGTGGATTTTCACGTAGATTGTTTTTTCTGCATTAACACATACTCACCCATTATAAGACAGCATAATAAAGGCAGCAGTGAGAGCAATTGATGATTGATTTGAATCTAAAAAAATACACAGGGTTCAGCCTATAATAGTAAGTCTCTTATCCTTTATATTAACCCTTTTTTTTTTCAATCTTGAAGGCACACAATCTACCGCTGAAGTATAGTAAGGACCTTTAATTGTGCAAAACAACTCAGTTAGTTGCATCGTACGCTCCACCAGAGCTGCTAAGTGTCTGTGTGATTTAACCTTTCTGCGTTTTATCCACATTGCAGATGAAAAGCCCAGAGGCCGAGTTTGTGTATGCAGTGGCGAAGGGCGCCGTTTCCGCCAGCGCGATGAGGATGAGCTCTGTTTCCATTTGAAAGTGGGTCAGAGACGGTGAGGATGTCCAGACTTGGCAATCTGCTCCGCCAAATAAACACAAACCAGAAATGTTAAAAAGTAAGCAGCACTTCTTCCTGCATTCTCCTTTTTAGTTTAATTGTGTTTTCTCTCAAACGCAGCATGGTCATCAGGCGGTACCTCTGCTCCAACCTGCTGCAATCACTGGGTCTTGGGCGAAGAGGGAGTGGTTATGGGTGACGCTTTGGGGGCTCCTGACGCCTGTGAGTTAACAATGACCTGGATGACGAAGTCCTTCTGGATCTTGGTGTCCTGCAGGCGCGTCTTGTCCGTCAGCAGCTTGCCAGAGAAGAACCAACGCTGCTGCAGCACGTCGATGTCCTCCTGGGCCTGCAGCTGCTTCTTCAGCTGCCCCATGGTGTCGGCCATGCTGGCATTGAGGCGCACGTCCTTTCCCGAGGAGAGTCGTACCTGACGAGGCAAACGGTTGAACCGGCAAGCTGAAAAATCTTTAACAATTTTACTCGAATTTTGATTCATGGATTACCACAGGCAAAAGCTGCATTTAAAACACAAATGTGGGGAAAACCTTGATGACATTCTGCTAGCGCTGAGGAAAGAAAAAAAAAAAAAAAAAAAAAAAAAAAACACTACGTGGCAATTGTGTTGTTTTCATTAAATAAGAAACAAAATCACACATGGACCAGTTTGTTTATGTGACAAGTCAGTAAAATACTTGTGTCATCCTGCTGTCATTGCCTGACTTCTTTATTTTAACGTCTGGTTGTTGATTGTGTGATTTGAAAAAGGTGTTTCTGTGGCAGTTTTGCAAAAATACACTAACTTTGATGTGGCTGAACAACCTCACCACTCTTGCGCAAAACCTGCACTGAAGTGGTTTTCAAAATTGGCATGCATCTATTAATAACACTTATTTTCATACCACCAATATCTAATCAATGACTGCGTATTTAAAAATTTTGGGGGTAAATTTCCACCAAAAATTCACACATTTAAAATTAAAAAAATAGAACATTTTCACCTTTTGAGTTTCAAAGTTTGACTTTGAAATCAAATTTCCTCTTTCTTCTAGGAAATTTCAGTGTTTTTATTGCAAATTTTCAAACTCAAATTTCCAAATGTTTTCTACAAAATTTCTGAATTTTTTTGACAGAAATGTATCCCCCAACCCCTCTACCACAAATTGCAGCAATAGTAGTTATAGTACAGTTTTGAGTGGAGCTACCTTGAGTTGAAATTCTTTTTTAGGTGCTACGGGGGGTTCAGGGCTGTCATTGCGGTCCTCATCGCTGCATTCTGAGATGAGGTTGACAGGGGGCGCTAGGCAGTAGACCGGCAGTTGGTAGCGGTTCCCCAGTTCATCGTAACATTCGCTCAGAGTCCCTGTGAAAGGAAGGGAGAAAACGAATGTCTAAAATGTGTAAATGTGAGGAATCGCCCCGATGGAAATGGGCCCCACCGTGCGGCAGAGTGATGCTGGCTCCGTCCACTATAGCCTGGGCCAGCTCGTGGTCGTTGCACTCCAGGGCCACGGCGGCGGCCTTCAGGGCATCCCAGATCTCCTTCCGGCCCTCGAACGCCGGCGCCGTGTCCCAGAACTCGTCTCGCTTGCTCCTCAGCTGTCCCTCCGTCATCGGGTAGTCGCTCTTCCACTTGGGACGTTCTTTTTTCAAGGGCTCGTTCCGTCCTGGGAGAGGGAGAACGAAAAGCATTTAACGGCAAGAAAAAAAATATTTATGTGGGATACCATTGGCTGAAATCTTTGTCACATAAGAAACTTCAATGAACTTTGTTACATTGTTGCAGTTGAATTATTTCATGTTTAGATAATTTATGCGCTCTGGGTTTGGATGTTGCGCATCGACAAGGATTTCTGATATTTTTTTCTTTTTACTTTCTAACAGTTAAGATTGGTAGCCATGGCAACAAGTTTTTTTTAAACAAGAGCAGCTGATTAGCATCTCGAAACCTCAAATAATATTTGAACTATGACCAAAGTACCTAAAATTCAAAGAGGACCAGCAAAAGCAAATGAAGCGGATTAGCATTTCTTGCCAGTAAGTTGGATGATGTGCTTGTTGTAGTTGGACACACATTGAAAAACAAGTTTTACAATCCATTCCCACTTTACATTCTACAAATATTCACTCGTTTCCATCAAGACCCAGTAAAATAAAAACTGTGGCTTGCAGTTGTAGCACGTCAAAATGTGAAAAACCTCACGGAGGCACAAATACTTTTTCAAGCCACTCAGCCACATTAGCTTCTAACAAGAACATATTTAAAGAGCCTGAATGAGCTCTGCCCAGTTCCCTATGAACACAATTTGATTGTATTTGCATTTAAGGCAAAAAAAAAAAAAAAAAGACTTCAGGCTGAGTGTTGAAACATTTGCAAATACAGTGAAGCACTGCTCCATTATACCAGGCTGGACATAGCAAGAGTGAATAATATCTGATAACTGGATGAACCTTTGGTGGATTACCAAAAGGATTCTCGGTTTTAAGAGCATGGAAACAACATTTTGTTCAGATTGCAGATTTTTCGCCGATATGGACCCACAGAATATGATTCTCATTTTAACAGCAATCAAAACAAAACAAATTAAAATAAATAAAAACCTGGCAGGGAAGAGAAATCTGATCTCTCACCAGAGATAGGAAACACTCCCACCACACCGACGTGTAGTCCCGGTCTAAAATTAGCAGGTGCTGCAGAGCTTGCAATATGCATGAAGCATGTGTACCCTACGTGTGTATGTGTGTCCGTGTAACTCTACCTGCGTCGTCCACCATCGGTTTCAACACAGACGCAGGCACGACAGACATTCTGCTGCTTCGCATTGTTTACTGAAGCTCCTAATGAAGTCATACCTTCCTCTGGAAATGTAAATTGATACTCAAATTTTTGTCGAAAAACATGGCTTTCACTGCAATATCAGAAAGAAAAAGATCTCTGCACCCTTAAATATGAAGTACAACACCTGCTTCAATTCGAGATGGGAGTCACTGATTGGTGTGTGAAATATACAACAGAAGAGTGTGACGTGAAAACCACAGCCTCCGTTTAGACTATAGAGATAACTCAAATTTAAGACCTTTATAAGGCCTTTTTTTAAGGTCTTCATTTTGGATCCATAGATTCAACACTTTTTAAGAATGCGCACAGACCTTGAGTGAGAAATCTAACAATTTTCAAAACGACTGCCTCTGATCAGGTTTTTCTGCCCATTTGGTAAACTCGCCATGCCAAAACGCTACCAGACTGCCTGACAACAACTTTTTTTTTATAAAAGTGTGGGAGTTGGATCAGTTAGAGTTTCAACGATTGCTTCCAGGAACCGTTGAAACAAACAGCCGCCATTTGCCACAGAATGCCAACGGTCAGCTGCTCTGATGAATGTATAGATCCAGAAGCCGAGTTGCTGGATAGCAGGAAGGCTTTCAGCCTGCATGTGTTATGAAAGATGCTGGATATGGAAATATTGGCAGGATGATCTACTACTTTAACAAGCACTGCATTAGACAGCCGGTAGACGCTTCCGATATGAAAATTTGACCACAAAGAGAGAAAAAAAAAAAAGTGATTTCCATTTAAAATCAGCTCTGTAAAAAAAAAAAAAAAGGGTCAAATTTGGCCTGTTTCTCTTTATTTACAGTTGATGTGGTTAGAATATAAATAAACTTTTAAATTGTTTGCCGTTGCATTTTGGTTTGCAATTAGAAATCCACATCAATTTTGGGATATTGGCCAATACGTGCATGTCAAACCAATCATTTGCATTGATCTTATCTACATCTGCAAAGGTTTGAAAAATCATCCACTGTCTCCTTTTGTTAATAATCAGCCCACTGTTGCCATGCCACCTTTATATTGCTGCTAAGTTCTGACTTTAGAAACTTTTCAGTCAAAAAAAACAACAAAACAACAACAACAACAAAAAACCCTTATGAGCCAAAATAGGAATTGTCAAGTCAGGCTTTTTTCAGAACAGTAACTGGTTTGGAAACTGCAACCGGTGCACCACTAGTAAGAAGCCTTCACAGAAGGCACTCAGCAACAAGAAGAAGAAGAAAAAAGAGCTTCCAGAGCCTTTGAAAGAAAACCTTGTGAATCAGTTTCTTACTTCAGAGCAGAGCCCAGGTCATCTGACAGTGTAGCAGATACTTTACAGGTCATGTTTGTGTTGAAATCGAAGCTCAGGTTTGGGGTCAGGGAGAACTCCCCACATACATTACATTAGCTCTAACTTCTCTGCCAGACAAGACAGTCATGAACTGTTTCCACTATAAATATTGACATGGGGAGATTATTATAGTACAGACATCACCATGACTCTAATAAAGTACGTCTTTAAATGGACCCGACTGTAACGTTGACGGAGTTAGCTACCATGCAGGCGCACACTTGTTCAGCAAAACTCAATTTGTGTTGTTTAATCTACAGATAAACATGTTCAATCTATTAAAGCTCAAGTAAAGAAAGAACAAATTATCTGAAATACATTTTTATGCATCAGAACACAATTAAAATGATAGCTGCACTAATTCTACTATTACATTCTGGTGATTGGCCAATGCGTGTGAAATTGATCTTATCTACCTCCACAGAGGTCTGAAAATAAGCCATTTTCTACCAGGTCATATCTACATGTGTGCAGTTAATAGTCTCCCTTCTGTTACCTAGCAACTATTAAGACAAAAAAAAAAAAAAAAGAAATGAAAAATCTGTATTGGCAAAAATTGGCTAATACCAATCGCCCATGGATTAAAAACTGGAGGACGTTGGACAACTACTGAGTGGATAGTTGTTTACTGTATTCCCTGGAGGATAGATTTCTTCTTCCCAGACAGCATTTGTGATTTTATTATATTGTTCCTCAATTTAGAACCACAATAAAACCCCAAAACAGTAAGCTAGACTGTGTTTAAATGAGAATCCTAACTGAAACCACTCGCCTTAAACGTTTTGCCCCCAAACTTACTGAGAAACTTCAGAGGACTCAAGTGGGAGAAGCACAGTTGATGGGAATAACTGTGGTCTGGAGTTTGGGTATGAAAAATAGGCAGAAACAAAAGGAAGTGATTTGGAGAACAGCCCTGCTGAACCCAAATAGACGGATGAAGCAATGCATAACAGACAGATGAAGCAATATCAAGCTGCTTCGCTCCTGCTGGGCTCATAAAAAGCAGGGTCCACATGAGGAGGCTGCATTGAAGCAGGATATATTTATGAGCGCTAACGTGAACAAACAAACAAAAAGCCTCTCTGGTGATATGTTCCATCAAACACACCATAAACACACAAAACGAGAAAAACAACAGGTGGTTATGAAAGGATTTTCTGGCTCTGCTGTAACATTGCGCTGCTAAAATTCCGTTTTGCCTCAGACATTTAAACAGCCTTACACATTCTCCTGTTCTGAGGTCATTAATGCATGTTGGCGCATTCTCTCCCAACACTAAGCGCACACAAAGTGGCCTTTTCAAAGTAGCACACACTAAAAGGCAACAACTTGCTAAAAAACAAAAAGCTTCTGCTATGTTTAAGGCAATGAGATTTACTGTAACTGCTTTCAGTTACTTTTGTCAGCTCATAAAATTAGTGAAGCACAATTGAAACAGCATCATCAGCGTGTTCATCCAGGTGCTGGTAGAAACCTTGGTGACGTGATGCTCCCCGTATGGTGGCGTATACCGCAGGCGCTTAATGTATCAACATGCTTTGTAGGAGAGCGTAGTCCTAGGTGAAGTCAAACACCTCTGTGCAAGCTCATCACCAAGGCAAATCATCCAGGTTTCTGGAGTGGTTTCCAAGTGCAGCCAACTGGGTAAAGTTTAGCTTTTATGTTACTCAAGTGTTGTTTGCATGTAGGACTATACTGAACCTGAACTACATGTGTTTTTTTTTTAAGACTATCCAACCATGATGGAACAAATGGATGTTGTTTATTCCTCCAATAAGAGTATCTCCTGAGTACCAGGAGACTTTTCTAAGAACCGATATTGGATCACGCTCCGTTCCTAGGAACAACCCTTATGAGACCTTATACAGGCACTGTTTGAAAGAAGGCCCAGCAGAAACTGTACTTCCTGAGGAAACTCAAGAAGTACAGCCTGCTATAGGAGCTGCTGGTCATCTGTCTACACTACTGTTATTCCCTCTGTCCAGTGTTTGTTCATCTGCCAGGGACAATTGGGTCCACAGAGAGTATCAGGGCTGACCTTCCCTTCATCTAGGACTTAAAGGGAAAGGAAAACATCTCTGCAGACTCCTCACATCCTGGACACAAGGGTCCAGGATGTGTGTTGTATTTATATTCTTTATTTTGTATTTATATTCTTACTATATTTACTGTGTACCTTGTATTTAATTTGTATTTTTTTGTATTCTTTTGTGTATGCTTACTGTGTGCCACATTTTTGCCTGTGAGCTGCTGGTAACTATAATTTCCTGAGGGAGTCTTCCCAAGGGATCAATAAAGTCAAGTCTAAGTCTAAGTCTAAGTCTCTCTTCAGACTTTTACCTTCAGGTCGGCATTACGGAAACGCCATTTGCCAAAATAGAAACAGTTTCTTCCACCAAGATGTTTTGATGAATAAAGACTCAGAAATTTTCTTGAACCCCACCACAATACAAGTTTGGTTTGTTCTATTCCCAACTAGTCTGCTGGTTTATGATATAGCT